GTCTCACGTAGAATGTTCCATAAACCTCAACTCCTTCTATGGAATTGAGATGATCGCTAACGGCCTCGAAACCTTTGTCCCGCGTTGGAAATTCACACCCAGTAATCTCAGACCAAGTTTTCAAGAACAGGCCAATTGAGATTCGTTTCGCTTCCCACATCGAATCCCATTCCAAATTGGAAATGATTAATCGCACAGCATCATCTAGAAATCAAAAGAGAGAATGACGATCGTAAAAAAAAAAAAATATGACAATATATATATATATAAACTTACCCATAATGAAAGAAAGATTTAACAAAAGAAAATAGAACCGTAGTAAAAATCAAAACTTATTCTTGAAGATCTAAACAACAAATGATAATCCAACATAAAAAAAATACCCATTTTTATACCAAGAAAATCAATTAATTAATCGTTAATCATCCAACCATATCCTGTTCAGTTACAAAATAATAGTTTTCTCACACATTTTCAGATAAAGGAAATGATCATTATTATTATTATCATTATTTCCTGAAAATAATCAATTCCATCTTTTCCGTTTAAAAAAAAACAATTAGTAACTTTAATAAGTTTTGCAGACCAAAAGTTTAATTGAAAATCATAAAAAAAAAAAATGTTTATGGTGGATATAATTAGAAAAGTAAAAAAAAAATAATTACCAAAACAAAAAAAAAAATTAATTAAGGAAAGCATTAAAATGGTAATACATGGTTATAGTAATAATAATGATAATAATAAAATGTTCGAAGGTCAATTATAAAAAAAAAAGAAAGGAAAAGAAAAGAAAAGAAAAGAAAAAGTCGATTTTTCGCAAGAGGCTCAGAAAATTTTACTTAGCTCCGCCCCATTTCACTTCAAAAATCAGACAAAAATATTAGCACCCTTTACGGACCCAGTAATATTCAAAAAGTTACATCAAAAATGTTTATCATAGGGGGTCATCGGGGGTCAGACCAAAATAAAAGATAATGGCTCACTCTTGTGTTCGGTCATCTCTATCCTTTCTCGGACGACCTCGACCGTTACCAGTTTTATCTTTGTGTCTCTCGTCGATCATATAAGTAGACCAATCTAGTTTAGCCTCTTCAGGAACTTCAAAGTCCGCATCATTTGAATTTTGGCCAAGAGTCTCGCGCTTGTCGAAACAAACAACAATTGCCCAAGGAAAACGTTTCGGAACGGAAGAAACTGGAACAGCCTGAGGATTAAGACCCTCTTCAACACAACGCACACCACAAGCCCGTTTCAAGACTGTGTCACCGGCGTATTGTTTAGTCCCAAAGACATGATATTTGAGTCGTTTTAGGCTCGATTTTGTCGTCTTGCAATAGACGCACTCAAATTCGACCGGGTACTTATCTGCGAACTCTTGGGCCTCTTTCTCGAGTTCCTGTAAACTCAAACCTTCTGGATTTACTCCAGACTCTTTAATCCAGGCCGTTTGTTCCTCCCAAGTCACCTCATCTTCAGGTTTCATTGTAGCAGCGTTCGAAAAGGCACTTTCAACTGAACGAGTCCTACCCCAATCTATGCCTCTACTTATCTGTCCATCTGGTAATCTGACAAAATTAGGAGTGGAACAAGGATAACGATTTGCTAAAGTTGAGCTAATCTCGACTCTTTGTTCCATTTCAGCAACGACAGGACTTGAGATCGTTGTTTCCCGTGTTTTTTCTTCTTCTTTTTCCCTTTCGATTTTCTTACCTCAGTGGCTCCACTATCACCTAGTCTACCATAGTTTCCACCATCATTACCATCACCCTCATTATCATTATTGTCATCTCCATTATCATCGCCATTATCACCACCACCATTACCATCGTTATTATCATCATCACCATTATCATCATCACCGTTATCGCTACTACTACCACTATCTCCTTCCTCTTCAGTACTCGATTCACGATCAGACATGACAAGAAAAGATCGAGGTACAACAATCGACGGTGGATTCGGGACTGGAGGTACAAACTCGGCTGACTCAGCAAGATCCTGTCTAATACCTGACATTGAATCATCCTGTCTCATGTCACTGTCCATTCGTGTCATGGCTTTAGCCAAAGTTGCAGTTTTAATTCTACTACTTCTCCTAAGAGGAATATCTCCAAAATTATCTGCCGTTTCCCCACCATCAATACCTAAAGAAAAAAAAAAACATTAAAATCATAATTTAAAGCTATACCAATAGATGGCAGCATGGGTCCCAGTACAGTATTCAAAGTAAAAAAAAAAAATGCTTCACTTATAGAATACAAAAAAAACAATCTTGAGGGAGCTATAATAGGAACTTAAATGACAAAAGAAATTTTTGTATCATATAAAAACACTTACCCAGAGAGAAAATTAACATTAAAATAAGGAAATAGAAACTCATTAAAATCCGCATGATGAAATGAAACTAAATATTCAATAATCAATAGGAAAATTATTATCCAAAACAAAAAAAAAAGGGAACAATAAACAGATAAATTTTACTCAATATCAAACATTTAGTAACTGCTCTACTTTGCTATTTGTTCCGTTTTTTCTCGTTCCCACGAGCTCCGTCTACATTGTGTCATTGCTAACATCCCGGTAAATTCAAAAATACCAAATTTAGAAAACATTTCCGTTGATCCATATTAGGATCTATTTTTTCGCTATTATTATTAATAATATCAGGAGTCTTTTCCGTCTCCTTCAAACTATTTTCCGTATAAAACAACCGATTCTCCGTTGAAATATTCACTCAACCTGAATCTACAACCAAGTCAACATCAATCAGTGCAAGTTTAACAATTAAACATCAATTGTACATCGAATTATATTCACTAGTGATCATCTTCATCATTAACTCAGTTTTCGTTCATCCCTAAGACCAAAACAATTCATCATGAGTCTCAGTAAAATATTAACTGTTAATGTTAAAGTTCCAACCTTCAATGGATTCGAACCATCGATAGAAAATTGGATAAGTGACTACGAACAAATCACAAATGTCATTGGTTGGTCCGATAAAGATCGACTCGTTGGATTCCCCGACTTTTTAACTGGAGTTGCCCAACTTTTGTTCAAAGAAGAGTATTCTTACGAATATAACTTCCCACAAAGTTGGTCAGAAGCTAAAGAAAGGCTGATCAAAGACTTCACTCCAATCACCAACAACAACGATCAAAATAGTGAACTTCTGGACAAACCCAAGTCACCTTTCTCGGTTTCACCCGATGAAATCTGCCATAATATTGTAAAGGCACAACGAGAAAAAGGTGCGTCTGGATCTGCTACTATTGAAGTGATTTTGGACATAGCAAGTACACTGGTGGAGACCGCTAGACATCTCAATACTCCTATCCAACCGAAGGACGAACCAAGCAAAGAACGTAAGATTATTTGTTACTTTTGCAAAGAACCTGGTCATATCCGACAGAACTGTCAACAACTTAAATATGAACGTACGTTAGCTATCCTCAGTCCAACATGCGAAAGCTCATCTTCATCATTGAATTGGCGTTCAACTTCCTCTAAGACTAAAGGATTCAAGAAATCAACGACTTTGCAACAGTGAAAACTGAAACAAGGGACTGTTTCAACTTCTAGTCGGGGGAAATGTAACGTAAATTTCGGTCCCATTATTCATCACTGGTTACAAACCCGTACAAGGATAAATCCGTTCATTACCAATAACCAATTAACCCTTATTTAGGATTACTTCCTTCCATAACCAATTATTACAATTACTTTATTTGGATCATAATCCTCAATTACTAATCAACCTAAATCTTTATTACTAACCGACAAAGATGAATAACACACACGTGACACTCGTGAGTCTCGATGATCTTGTATAAAACCAGATCACCTACTAATAGAATGTTCACTTCTTTAGAATCAACATAACATTCAAGTTAAAACATTCTAATAGATTTCATCTTGTCATCATCTTTTAATCAAGTTAATCCATTCCAATAATCTGTGTAATTCATTACAATCATTTAATCAACAATTGGATAATAAAGTTCATTTATATTAGTTAAAGTTCTTCTAATAACGTTTCTACATTATTTAATTCGTTCATCACTCATTACGTAACTTTTTCACGTTACATCTAGTTACATCTTCTTCTTAGTTATCATCATCATCATCTTTCCATCTTTTCAATTCCATTAGATGTAAAACATTTCGAGACTTTTTTTCTCATCATTTCTCATCTTCTTCTCATCATTTATGATCATCTCTCGCTCTCTCTTTTTTTTCAGGTCACTTGATGTTCATCTTGTTTTTCAATTGTCACTTGATTGTTAATCTAAATTGTAAATTGTTGATAAATCATATTCTTTAACCTCTAATTATCTATATATTCACTTTACTATTCAATCAAAAGGCTTTTTTGCATTAAAAGCAATTCCAGTAATTGATTGATTTGATTATCTCTTTTTTTTTATCAAAATTCATCTAATCAATTTGGTTAATTGTCTTTAACTTAATAGATGTATCAATTACTAATTGGTTTGGTTTAATTGGATTAATTTTTACGTTTTCATTTTATTTTTGTTAATTGGCGATTAATCAATTGAATTGATGTTGGTTAATTTTTATATAAACAACAATTAATTTTGATTTAATAGACAAGGAAAAGTTTGGTCAACAATTTAATTGTAAACAAGGAAATTAGTTAAATTGGGAAGTTTACCTAATTGTGTATGAGAATTGTAACAATTTAGGTTAATCATCAATAATTAAAGATACAATTTTATTTATATCTTCAATTTTTTTTTTGGTTTTTATTCAAGTTTTTCAATTTCACCAACTAAATTGTTGATCAGATTTAATTGTTGTAATTTATGATGGCTAAATTGTTTCTCTCACCAACAATTATTACTCTAATGATTAAAGCAATTAAAAGATAATCATTGAAACCTTAAACTTGTAATTGTTGCTTCTCAAAGGCTTAAGGGTAAAACCAATACAATCAAAGTGATTTAATGTAAATCAATTGATTGATTGTTAATCGTGTGTCATGATTAATTAGATTTATTCAAATGAACTTGATAATCACAATTAAAATGATAAAACATTAGGATTAGCTGATGGTGATGATGAGGAAGAATAAGAAGAAAAGAAAAACAAAATCAAGAATAATTTGATTGATTAGTTGATGATGATAACGATGATTAAAAGTATGATGATGTTTAATTTAAGGTGAAAATTGGATGAATAATTAATAAGATGATCAAGATTGATAACAATTTAGTTGATTGTTTGATTAAATGGGATGAAGATAATGCAAGTTGTTCAAGTCGATAAGTTTCATTACATTCATTGAGTAAATCTTCAACGGTAAAGTACCAAAGTTCAGTAGCCTCGGGGCAAACTAGCCCTTCAACTCGATCCATATAATTGTGGTCATCTCGTTTTAACCATTGCATCCGACAATCGCACTTAATTGGATTCTTATTAACTGATATTGTGCTTCGGACATTTGATAAAATTGGTGTGAACACATCTTCATCGAGATATTCAATTAAATTGTATTCGAGGTTTAAATGGACTGGCCTACGAAGTCGGGTGAACGCATCTTTGTCAATATTTTGCATTTGAAGTAAATTACCTCGCAGGTCAAGGGTCAACAGTTCATCGGATGATTTTTCAAAGGCAAAAGTATGATTGGTCAATCGAGAGATTAAATTATCTCGTATTGAAAGACTGGTTAGATTGGGTAACCGGTAGAAAGCATAATCACCAAGATCTTCAATTTCATCTCGAGCCAATTGAACGGAGGTCAATCGGGGCAATTCAACTCGACCAAATGCTGACCTTTGAATTTTGGGAATTGAAGCATCGGTTACCCAGAAAATGGCCAATTGATTAAAACTATCAACGATTTCAAATATCGATCCGTCATTTTCCTCTTTGGTTATCCAACTGGCCTCCGATAGTCCGGAAAATTTGAAACTTTTCAACGTTTCCTTTGACTTTACCAAACTTGTCCTATGGATTCGGGTCAGTGAAATGTTCTGATTGCCATTAAGGTCAATTGCCTCCAATGACATGTCACCCAAAATGTCCTCTGCCATGTGAGTTAATTCAGTTTTATACAATTTAAGTGATTTAACATGTCGCTCAGCAGTGTTGACATAATAATTGGCTAATTGACTGAAAACTTGACGGACACTACAATCGTTAATCTTGACCCCATAACACTCCATCTCACCTGATGAATTATTACATTTACATGGGGCTATTTCCCGTTCAGGTGGACATTTAATCGCATAATCAGAAGTGTAATAACCTTCATCGAATTGACAATTAATATTTGACGGACTAATTAAGGTTAACATTGTCAACGTAATTGGGAAGATGTTGGGTAAACCTACGGGAAAATAAAGATAACTTTTTAACTTTAGATTGTTAATCAATTGATTGTATTTACGTTAATTGTTAATACTTACTAGATTCTCGAGGATTAAATATCATCATCAACATTTTTACCAACATTTTCTACTATTTTGCTAATTGTTGCATCGATTTCTTTAATTTTATCAATTGATTCCGGTTAATTGACGATGATGATGATAATGATGGTACCATGATTAATGATAACGATAATTTAATAACTGTTAAACAATTTGTGGTTACAACTTATTGTTGGTAATTTGTTACATTATATTTGTAACAATTTAATTCACTTTCCATGTTGATTGTTGGTCGCTAATAAATATTGATTATTTGTTAGCAAGAAAAAAAAATACACTCACATAATCAATTGATTAATTGTATTTGATTTAACTCTTTGTTTTCACATAAAATTGCAACTTAATGATTAAAGTTGTAATCAGTTGGTCAGTTAATTAATTTAGACACTAAATTGAAACTAACAGGATTAACTCGTGGATTAAAATGGTTAACTGATTGTTACAATTTTTAAATTTTCTTTTCTTTTCCAATTCTGATTCAAGGTTTTTCTCACCATGTTAACTCTATGGAGGAAAATGAAACTCACTCCACCCAATCATCATCTCTTCATTCAATCAACTTGATACAATAAAATTAGGTGATGATAATGATGATGATGATGAGAATGATAATAGAGACCAAATTTTCATGTACAGTCGTTGGTAAAAAACGATGATCAATGATGATAATAGGAAGGGAAAAGGTCTAATGGGTTATCGTGTTTGTTGGAAGAGAAAATCGATTTCGAACTTGATTTATCTCTTTCTTTTTTTCTTTCTTTATCTTCTTCCTGTTCATCTAATTCATGAATTTAAGGTGATATTTTACCTGAATAACATGATGATCCCTCGGATGAATCTCATGAAATGATAATTATTGGGTGTGGAGCCAAAGATATTAAAAGACTTTGGTTAACCTGAACAAGGAAATTATTTGATTGTCATGATTTTCCAGTTGGAAATGTCTTCATTTCTGCAATATTATTAATACAATTACAAATTGTGATTATTTAATTACGATTTTGTTGTGAAAACATGATTATTATCATGTTCATTTGCTAAACGATTTTGACGTTTTCATCATTTATTGTCCACTAACAGTGACAATTAAGACCAATCAAGTTTATTGGAAATTGATGAAAAAAAAATGAGACAAAATTTTTCAAAATTTATAAAATGAGTTTTATTTTTTTCTAAATTGTATTTATCATTAGATTGAGATTAAATTGTTATAACTTGAACTGTAGTTGATTAAGATCTTGTTTACAATTTAACTCAATTAGATGATCGTGATGGTGAGAGATATGATTACAACTTTTGTCTTCTTTAGTTTTTATCTTCAAATGAAGAGAGGAAACGGAAGAAGATTTATCAGAAACTAATTTGATATTCTCTGTACATTTAATTATGCAAATGATGATGGAGAGCTAATTGTTGTTGAGAGAGTGATAAATGGTCTATACACAGATGGAAGATGTAAAGTTAAATTGTGATTAGTAAATTAACTTAAGCCTTCTTGGCAGCGGCGGCCTTTTTGTAGTCATCACCGTATCCTGATGATCCATAGGAATCATCTCCGTATCCTGATGATCCGTATGAGTCTGAGCCGTATGATGATCCGTATGATGGAGCGTAACTGTCACCAGACCATGAGTCGGCGGCGGAGTATGAACCAGCTCCGTATGATGGGGCTCCGTATGAGGATGAACCGTATGATGATCCGTAAGATGAGTCGTATGAAGGAGCTGAGTATGGGACTGGGATGTATTTCTTGACAACAACTGGAACGTGTTTCTTAACTACGACTGGGACGTGTTTGGTGACGATGACGGGTTTTGGGACTGAGACAGTTTTGTATTGTGTGACTTTTTGGGTCAAGTATACTGGCTTAACGACAGGTCGTTCAATGATGACTTTTCTGACCTTGGGGGCAGCGACGGCGTAACCGGCACCGTATGAGTCTCCGGAGTATGAGTCGTCACCGTATCCACCAGCTCCATATGAAGCACCTGACGAGTATGAGTCACCACCGTATGAACCTGATGGGTATGAAGCGGCTCCATAGCTTGGGGCTGATCCGTAGCTTGATGATCCGTAGTTGGATGAGGCCAAAGTTTGACCGGCAAGAAGGGTAAGAGCGAGAACGATCTAATAATAATAATAAAAAGAAAACAGAAAATTCAATTATTATTTTTTCATAATCATCATCTTCAAATGTATTAGTTATAATCCACAATCAATTGGTTGATCATCGTCATCATCATGATCGTCAGATTAATTTCACTTTCAACTTACCATTGAGTTCATGATGAGTTTTGATTTTGTTGTTTTGTTAAAATTTGAAGTTGTTATTTGAATGATTGGAGATGAGAACTGATGATTTAATCCATCAAAACGATTCCTTTATATACCATTTCGTTTTCCTCTCGAACGCATGTACTTCCCCCACGAGAAAACGTATATTCGTTACATCAACATGCACCAATAGGCGGAGGCTCTCACTTGGTCACTTTAAAAGTAGGATGGACATTCAGGTAATATCATATATCGAGCAATCAAATTAAAAGGGAAAGTTAAACACGTTGATTATTGAACGTGATCTATATGTTTGGTCACTCCTTATGATGATGATGATGATTAAGATGATCTGGTTCACGTCGCTGACCAATGTTGACGATAATGTTTTTGCGATACAACTCAAAGTGACCAATGTCCGGCGGCGATTGTTCAAGTAGGTGGCTTAATATGATTAAGTTTGTAATTGTTACTTGATGATTTTGTTAATCTGAAAATGAGACAGTTTAAAGATTAATTTACATGAATCTAATTAGATTAAATTTGATTAGTGATTGTCTCTTTTTTCTGGTACATGAAATTAGCAGCGAAATTATAATTTCAATATTAATTCATAATTCGAATTATTTGTTTGAATGGAAAGTCTGAAAAGGAAAATTAATCGTATGTAAATCTATTGCAATTAGAATCCTTCTTTTTTTTCAACAATTAACACTCTCATAGAAAATTAATTAGTAGTAATTAAGTAATTCATTGTTTCAGATTTCGAGAAAAAAAAAGTTTTTTTCTTTTGCTTTCAGGCTTAATTATGTTTCTCATCATTTAGATTATTTGACTTACAAGGTAAAAAGATCAATCTTGATTAGCGATTATCATTACGGAAGAAAATTAGTTTTAATTGTGTCAAAGGTTTTCGATTGGAATCGAATGTGAATTAATTATTGTCAAAATTCATTGTAATTCGTATCTATACTTATGAGAATTAAACTAATTCCGAGTTAATTGTTGTAATTGTAAAGTTCAAGTTCGCAAGAAAAGTTTTAAAATAATAGTTTTCATCATGATTATCGCTGAATTTTATCAATTGTCACCTCAGAATAATTAAATTTAATTGTTTACTTTTATATGGATTTTGTGACTTTAAATGGTTGATTAGATTTACTATCAATTTATTAATCAAAAACAATAATTAATCATCACATCGTACATGTTACTAATCTGTTTAGTGCAATACTTAATCAAGAAATTGGATCAACTGGTTTTAAATGATTAACTAATTATTACTTTTTGATATTTGATATGAAACATCAGAAGCAACAAATTTTATTAATAATTTCAGGTCAGATTGAAAGGTGAATCCAATGAATGAGAGTAAACAATTTAGAGGTCAAACTTGTCAAAGGTTAAAAAGTTTAAATTGATCATCGAGCAATAATTTATCTTGATTGTAATCATTTGAACAGCAACAATTAACAATCAACAATGAGTAGAAACATGAACACGAAACTTTGGAAAGTTTAATTTTGTTACAATTAAAGAGACAATTAAGTCATTTCCTTTTCTTGGAAGAAAATTTTTCGCAAGTTCAATTTAATATCTTCATCATTATGGTTATTTAATTTACGAAAACAATTCAATTGTCAAATTCTGTTCTCGAGACAATTAACGAACATTTTTGCTCCATTAGAACATCACTTAAATCAAATATTCTATTCACTTAATCATTGCACAATTTATTGTAACCATTAAGTTGGAATTTAAATTGTTAGTTTCTAATTAGAAAACTTTTTCACAAACTGAGGATTGAACTTGCAGAAATCCAATGATCAGTCAATCTAAACTAATATAATTCTTAAGTGATTGTAGGCATAATTTAAATGGATAGAAATTTAAGAAAATATAAAATATAAAATTCAAAACAATTTAGATCGTAACTTTTTTAGTCCAAAAGACGAAATCGAAAGTCGACGAAAGCAAGTTAATGTTTTTTTCTAAGAGATGGAGCCACAAAACTCTCTTACTTTTTTCTCTTACTCTTTGGTTACACAAATTTTTCTCTTTGAATAACTAGTCTATTTTCAGAGATTTTTCGTGAATTTAGCTCAATTGCTGTGCCTAAACAAGTCACCTTCAAGTAGAGGTTTTTGTTTACTATTTTGTCATTTATTCATTTAATTGTTTGGTCATTTTTTTCGTTTTTGGACAAAATTAGTTAACCATGGCGACTTACGAGGAGAAGATTGAATACGTGAAAAGCGTATGGATCTTACTAAGCCCAATGGAAGAATAGGTCGACCTGCTCCCCCTGATCCAAGGTTTCCAAATGTAAATCAATCACTGTAAGTAATTATTTTCTAACTATATTTCTACTTCTCTTTCATTAATTGAATTGATATCTAATTAATAATTTTCTCATTTTCTTCTCACTTAGCAATTGCTATCAAAACTATGTAGATTACCACCGGTGTTTGAAAAAGAAACCTGGATGGGAAGCTTGCGAATGGTACAAAGACAATTATGAAACACTTTGTCCAATTCAATGGGTACGTTTTCGGATTAATCGGTTGGATGTTCTTAATTAGGGCAAAATTATGATCCTAATGTTCATCGTTTCTTAAATCTGAATGCTAGGATGCTGAATGACTCGACAATCTAAACCTCGATGGTTAAATTGTTGAAATCTGTTGATATTCTCTGGCCTTTTCTCTTCCGTTATTTTGTTGTATCTGTTTGATTCTAATTATCTTCTCTTTTGTTTTTATTTGTTCTCTTACCTTTTTCTTATTTAGCACAAGAAATGGGACTGGCAAAGAAAACGTGGAATCTTCCCCGGAGATATTTAAATTATTATCCGTTTCAAGTTGGGTTAATATTTACATTCTCTTCAAATTTACCATAGAATTGATTTTAATCAAAAATTTGATTTCATGATAGCAAGTTGTGGCAGAAATAAGTTTCTCTCAATAAATTTTGAGTTAATCGAAAATTAATTAACTACAAACTTATTTTATTCGTCTTCAAGTATACTTTTTTTTTTGGAAGGTCTGTACACAATATAAATTGTTAAAAGTACAATTCTATTTCTTATCAGAGTCTAATAAATCTTTGGCTTCATTAATTTTAGCAGCTAAATAAGGTGATCCACCTGAGAAATAAAAGAAAATGATAAATATTATTTGGATGGCTAATGATTAATAATAGGAAATGGATCCTTTTAACGAGAAACGTGAAAAAGTAAAAATTGATCGATCAAATAATCGATGAGGAAAAAGGGATTAAATGAATTACCTCGATCTGGATGATTAAGTAACATTATCCTTCTATGAGCTTCTCTTAATTTTAATTTATTAACTGCTGGACTAACTCCTAATATAAGACCAGCTTCACGTCTTGTCATTTTGGCCTCGAATCCTCCCTTGTAGTATTTAGAATTGGCAAAAGATTTCTAATGCAATTAAAGAAAATTAGTTGATCAATTGTCCATTAAAAGAGAAAACCATGACCTATAACACTTACAGCATCGGGTAGAACCTTATTTAATTGCTCCAACTGTGGGCCTAATTGTTTTGATACTCTAAGTAAATATCTGCCACCAAAACCGACTGCAGCCATGGCCATTCCAGCTACAATCATTGAGCTCTGAAAGTAGAAGAAACAAATCAGGTAAATTTCCATTATCTAATACAACCAATTAAATCACTTACAGCCATGGTAATCAATAATTTATTAAATTAAATTACTTGAAGAAGAAAAAAAATGATGCAATTAAAATGTTGATTGACAAGAAAATTGAATGAACCACAACAAGAAAATCAAAACAAATCGGATTAAATTTCAGGTAATTAAATAACAGTCAACACAGCGAATTGTTTAATTGTCAATTAGTAAACAATTGATTTTCACGATCAACTATAAATAAAAACAATTTAAAGTTAACAATTGAAACGAAATCAAATTAAATAACCTTGGCTAATTTTGTGACAAAATTTTGTTTCTCAACACATGTTGTTCGAGTTCTTCACTCTCACACTAGATGTCGCTTTTTTCACAATTAAGTTAATTGGATTAACTTTAGATTTAGATTTGTAATCATCGAAAATTTTTGCCAAATAATTAAATTAAAAGGAGTGTTTTATTCCGCCGAAAAAATTGAAATAATATTAGTGTAAATTTCATTGAAATGGAAAATCTTTTTAACCATAAAGAAAATTGAGTGAGAACGAGAGAGAATCATGAAAACAATTAACTAAATGTCTTGTTTCATATTAGGTTACTAATTAAAGTTGATTGTTCTTTCTGAAAGAAATGAAATAAAGGTGAAAAAATAACATTGATTGGTTTTCTTTTCTTTTTTTTTTAGTTTGTATAAAATTACTCAGTAATCATTGAGAAAATAGAGTTGATTTTAATTGTTGATGATTTTAGATGAGTTGAGCTATCAATTGGTTGAGACTTTAGATTTTATGAAATTGTGAAGCTCTAAGGAGACTTGAGATATTTTCTGTAGCAAAAAGAAAACAAGAAAAACAGTAAAAAAGAAATTAGAATAAGTTAATTAGCGAATTGAATTGTGATAGTAAAATTTTCGATCAATTTCAATAACTCACTGGTATCAGTTCTTTAATTGGTTCACTATGAAGACTTCCGAATCCTAATTTTTTCGAATGTAATAAAGTACCACAATCGTTTATTGAGAATAATAAACTAGATATACTTGATGCTTCTTCTTCTTGAGTTGGATCAATGATGTAATTGTTTCCAATTCGGGTTACGGTGACAAAAAGTGGAACTTGAGACACATCTAAACTGATTACATCGAAAGGATCATCAGGAATCTCTATTTCCATTGTATCTGGATTAACGTAGACCTTGGGTAATCTGCCGGGAGAAAGTGAGAGGATAGAAAAATGAATAATAAAAAAGAAAAAGAATAATTGAAGAAAAAAAACTGACCTTGTCTCATGAAGAGCAGCTTTGACCGCTAGCGAGCATAAATCATAAAGAGAAGCTTTTGATCCAACTTCAAGGATAAGAATATCAATCGAAAGGCACCAAACTGATTTTCCTTCGACAACCATTAGACAATCGTAGATTGAACAATCTTTGAAAGAATCTTCGAAAAAAGAAACAATCTCACCGACCATCGCTGATCCACCTCGACCTTCAAACAATGGGTCAGCATTTGCCGAAACGTCGGCATAAAATTCAACTTTACCTTTACCTGGACGACCAGGATCTGGAGGAACAAGAGACATTTTAATACCAACCAAAACTGAACAATTAACAGAACGAATTTGAGCTGAACCAACACAACTTGCCAACAAATTAGTCTCTAAATCAATTTCTCTCCGATCCCAACAAGATCTTCCATCAATCCTAAAATTATCATTAACTCCATGGATAAGGTAACACTTTTCACCTTCACTCAACAATATCTCAGTCATGGTGAATACAAAACTCTACCCAAAGAACAACCAAGTCAACTTTAAATCGAAAAATGAACAAATCAACACCAGGAAAAAAAAATAGAAAACAATTAGTAAATTCTATTAGAAATTAAATAATTTCTAAGAATCAAAACAACAAGAGACTAACATGTGTTTCCATTTGTGGTCACGTGATTTCCATTGGCGGGATTGGAGAAGAAAAAATTTCTCTTCATTTGTTTTCTTTTTTTTGTTTTTTTCCAAAACAATTTAATTTATTAATTGTTCCTTCCTGCTAATTAATCAATTAGTAGATTTTCTTGTTACAGTGTTGAAATTAAGAAAAAGAAAATAATTTCTTTTTGCTTAATTACCTTTTTGTTTGTGTTTACTGTTGTAGCTTCTTAACTGGTTCATCATCTTGTTGTTGTTGTTGTTTTAATTTTCTATAACTTTGTTTCTCCAACAATTAAGATGGACTTTGATTTGATTTGTGATAATCAATCTAATCTTGTTGATTCACCTTTGACAAGTTGACCTCTAAAATTACCTTTCATTTCCTACAAATCAATCCAGTAACTGACCTCAGACAATTTGTATCCTCTCATTTAGTGTAACCTGTTGTGTACATTATTTGATTAATCATAATGGTTTTCTTTTCGTTCAAATTAACTTAATCATTTGATCCATTTTTGATTAAGATCAAATTAATCTGGTTAAATTGTAACATTCAATTGATTCCTGTTATTGTCATTTCGCTCAATATTGTTGATTATAAACTTGCATCATCCATTAGATTGATAAGAAGAGGAAAAAAAGAGAAAATGATTAACAGGTAAGATTTTTATTAATTAATTTAATAATTCGAATTCTGAATTGATTTAATTAACGTGCAAATTGATAACAATTAATTATTTCATTTCAATTGTTTTAAGGTGACAAATTAATTGGATGATACAGAGATAAAATTGAAACTTAAACTTGATACATTTGATTGATATTCATAAGGATTGTTTGATTGTATCATTTTTAATTCCTCATTTTCCCAGTGATAGTTAACTGATTTATGCAAATCAGTTAATGTAACAATTAAATCTAAATCAAAGATTAACACTCTTCTCAAGTTGATGAATCTATTCAAATGAATTGTTTTCTTTGCAAGGTTAATCTTTTTGTAACAATTTTAACACTCAATCATTTCTGATTATTGTCTAATTGTACAAGATTTTTATGATTAAGAGGCCTCACAATTAAATTCACTCATTGATTAACAGTAAAAAATTAATTTTCCTTTTGGGACTTTCCGTTAATTTCTGTATAAAGGATTGAAGAGCCAAATAATCATTTAATTTATCTTAATTCGTTTTTCTGCTTTAATTTTCCAATTTAATTCAATAATCAAACCAAATACATGTAAATTAATTTGATTTCACCTTAATTTCTCCCATTCAGCTAAGTGCCACCCACTTAAATAACCGCCGGCGGACATGATCAGATTTTCAAAGGATAAATGAAATATTAGCCGGTTACCGGTAAACGTGAACCAGATTATCATCTTGATCATCATAATCTCTCATTTTAATCAACAACACAATCAACTAATGTCGTTTAGCACATTTACCTTTACCTTCTATCTTATTGATTGCTCGAGATAATATATCGTTTTTTATCTTCTAATAATCATCATCTTCTCACCATCGGTCAAATCCCGTTAGAATGAATTAAACTGATGAACTGAGTTCGCTCTTGAACTGTATTAATTATGATCAATCTTCATTTGGTAATCATAAAAATTGAATTAAGGTGAAATCGAAAGTGAAAGGAAAAAAGATGAAGAAACTGTTGCAAAAGCTGAAAGATGATCGAAGATGATAGAAGAGGAGGTCGAAAAGGACGAAGCAAATGGAACCGCCTTTTGGTTATGCAACTAGTTTAATGAGGAGTAAATGAAATCGAGAGTGAGAAAAACGAAATGGTATATAAAGGAATCGTTTTGTTGGATTAAATCATCAGTTCTCATCTCCAATCATTCAAATAACAGCTTCAAATTTTAACAAAACAACAAAACCAAAACTCATCATGAACTCAATGGTAAGTTGAAAGTGAAATTAATCTGACGATCATGATGATGATGATCAACCAATTGATTGTGGATTACAACTAATACATTTGAAGAAAAATAATAACCGAATTTCTGTTTTCTTTTTATTATTATTATTAGATCGTTCTCGCTCTTACCCTTCTTGCCGGTCAAACTTTGGCCTCATCCAACTACGGATCATCAAGCTACGGATCAGCCCCAAGCTATGGAGCCGCTTCATACGGTGGAGACTCATACTCATCAGGTGCTTCATACGGAGCTGGTGGATACGGTGACGACTCATACTCCGGAGACTCTCACGCCGCTAGTTACGCACCAAAGGTCAAGAAAATCATCATTGAACAACCAGTTGTCAAACCAGTCTACCTTAACCGAAAAGTCGTCTCTGTTCAAACTGTCTCTGTCCCAAAACCATACATCGTCACCAAACACGTTCCAGTCGTAGTTAAGAAACACGTTCCAGTTGTTGTCAAGAAATACGTCGCTGTTCCTTATGAAGTCCCAAGCTACTCAGCTCCTTCATACGGCTCATCATACGGCTCATCTTACGGTTCATCCTCATACGGAGCCCCATCATACGGAGCTGGTTCATACTCCGCCGCCGACTCATGGTCTGGTGACAGTTACGCTCCATCATACGGATCAGACTCATATGGCTCATCTTCATATGGATCAGACTCATACGGATCATCAGGATACGGTGATGATTACCGAAAGGCTTAAATTAAACGATCATCCTAATCACAATATCCCCTCTCCATCTGTGTATACCCATTATCCTCCTTCGTCCCTCAATCTCAAACCATTAGTGCTTATAATTAACTCATCATCTTAATTGTTGCATTCAACACTCACCACATCACACATCTTATGTACAGAGCATTTTCAACAATCAACATAATAGTTTTCCTTTCACTTCTTTCCAATTGTAAAGTAGTAGAAACAAAAAACTTTCAACTTGTATCATTTATCATCTGAATAATGTAACTGATCAAATTGCTCAATTCGAAATGTAAAACACAATCAACCTAATCATTTGGAACTGATTAGGTTTTTACAAATTGAAATTAGTTCCAAAGCTATTCAGCCAAAGGTCACAATCAAATGATTTGACCAAATCTAGAAATTAAATAAAAAACAGATTAATCAATTACTATCAAAAAACACGAAACGATTCACAATTTATTTTCAAACTAAATAAACTGAACATCAACTTATCAACAAATCGTTAACCATCAGAACGACATCAAGTATTCTCATCTCTATCAAACCCTAACAGAAAATCCTAAACATGGACCTAAAACAAAGAGTAATAACTTATATTACTCTTTGACCTAAAACTAATTTCATCTCTTCAGTGTTGAAGAAAACACAACTTTTCCTTATTCTTTCACTTACCCTGCAGATTCATCGTTAAAATTAAATTTCGAACCTAAAAAATGGTCATCTAGCTAAGAATACTATACATTCAAAGTTGTACTAAAAGCACCGAAATGTTTTCTGTTTTTTTGAATGAAATGTTATTTCAATGAAAATTGTTTGACTATTTAAGCAAAAATGTCTAATTTGCAAGTTCGGAGTTTAATCGATTCTTACAGCTCGAATTGAATTATGTCGATTGCATTTACTACGATCTCTAGGTGTTGTAGTTTCTTAGATATTGACCCTCGAAGATCAAATGTCACTCCGATGAAATAAAATTTTGTGATCGAAATGTGAAACGCATCGTTGCTCAGAAAAATCGACCTGGAGTGTCAACTTTGATCTCGATTTTCTCGAAAATTCTGATCAGAAATAAATATATTTTAACTTCGTTTACGTGACTCTACTAATGCACAAAGTCTCAATTCTCAACTATAAGTCAACTAAGCACCCTCTTATCGTTTTGTTCAGAAATGGGCACTCGAAGGGATAGCCGCCAAAATTTAATTTACAGCTTAATTCTAAAGGTTAAATCATTAAAACTGACCTCTTTCTAATCAGTTCTTGAATTTTTTTTAAATTGATTCCTAGATGACATATACTGAGGTGTCTTGGTGAAAAAATCAATTTCAATATAGTGAAATTTTTATTTTTGACATAATTCATTTAGAAACATGTTTAGAAAACTAATCACGATCTGATCAGAATTTAACTATTATCATTAGATAGACCAGTTGATTTTCATTAGTCTAAGTTTTTCAAAAACTCTCTAGGTCCAAACTCTTCGGTTCTACGATATTTCAAACTTTTTCCTTCTGATTAGTGAACACCTCTTGAATAGGGAAATTCAATCTGATCCCGGAATCAGACCAAAAAAGTGAGAATAACTGAACCTCAACCCGATCTATCGAAAGTTTATAAATGTACATATCACATAGAATGATCGAAGCGATTCCGAGGGATCATCATGACAGTCAATTTGGAAATCAACGAAACATATCGATTGTAGACGGGATAATGGGCCTGAAGGAAAGTTTCATTAACTTACGTGAACTTAAGAAATCGCATTTTACTAGTGTCCAACTGGACCTGAGTTGCGCTTCCAACACCATAAATTGAAACAAAATCATAGAGACCATAACCTCACCTAACCTAATAAACTTCACCTCATCCTTTCTGCCAAATCGTTGGTTATTAATTCAAACGAACGGGAAGGAAAGGGAAATATTCTCGGCCCTTTTTTCTTAGTAATCAGCCACAAACAATAGGGCTGAATAGCCTGGCCGAATACCACAAATCAGCTATGCCGACAACGTTAACACCATTTGCATACAATGTAAATGATGTTGAACTTGACAGGCTAAAAATAAGAGCTGGTAATGTAGCTTAATCTTACCTGAATATGAAGATGAAGTAAAATTAGATAACGAAGATTGACAAAAATACTTTTCTTGGCCATAGGTCAATCTAATCTCCAACTTTACCTTCATATTCAGGTAAGATTAAGTTTCTCTTGTAGCAACCATTTTTTAACTAATTTAGTGTATTACACTTAGTGTAATATCGTTTAATATCAAATGGAAAAGTTATGAACGAAAACGCTAAACTGACTGAGCGAGCAATTGACAGTTTCAGGTAAAATCTTCTCATTTCCAACTTTAAACTCAAAAACAAATAAAAAACGAAGGTTCTTACCAAGGGGACGAAATACAATTGAATTCATTGGTACCTCTTTCCTTAAGTCAAATCAACGAGATCTCAACATGACCAAGTATCATGAAAAACGATAAACAGACTAAATCATCTTTCTCCTTAACCTGTACGCACTCTTCGACGGTCTTGACCCTTTCACTCGAACAGAAAACACTTCACAGAAAATCGCCACCGAACTAACTTATTACGTTATCTTCCACCATTGCCAGAATAATAAAGCTCATCCACAGTATAAGTTTTTGCCACTAACAGTGAAGAACTGCTAGTCTGTCAATTGGTTAAAGATCATCCAGGGATTCAATTCATTAGACAAAGATCACCTGATGGAACTCAAACAATCGAGCCTCAGAATGCTCGAAGCCTACAAACGAAGCAGAACCAAAATGATTCACCTTATCGACATAAACGAAAAGGACCTTGAACAAACCCTCACTCTGATCAACAACTATTACAAAATTCACTCCGTCCTATTACCCTGTAGTGACATTATCAACAATCGGTTGATCAACCAAAAACGCTTTAGACCACCAAAATTGTACACAAACTCATACACGATCTTACTAACGTTTAGCTCTGACGAACGATAGCACTGTGAATGTATACCAGTCGAGCCATGAGCGATCTGGTGGTTCCAAATTCTATTAGAATGTCCCAGATTCTTTGAAGAATGAAAGAAACTTCAAGACCAACTAAGCGCTTGATAGCTAATCCTTAAAATCTAACATACTACTAAAAAGCGCTTCGAGCTGAAAAACTGCGAATATAATTCGGAAGATTTATAGAAATTCGAAACTGAACAAGAATTCAGAGCAATTTGCATAGATCCTTAGCCTCAAGCTCACCTGAACAGAACTTCTCAGAGACAAACACACGCATAGCAAACAGTTCAAACTAACGCTGTCCCAAAACCATAAATTTCACCAAACAAGTTCGAGTAGTAATGAAACACAAAACTGATGGACCGCCTTTTGGTTATGCAACTAGTTTAATGAGGAGTAAATGAAATCGAGAGTGAGAAAAACGAAATGGTATATAAAGGAATCGTTTTGTTGGATTAAATCATCAGTTCTCATCTCCAATCATTCAAATAACAACTTCAAATTTTAACAAAACAACAAAATCAAAACTCATCATGAACTCAATGGTAAGTTGAAAGTGAAATTAGTCTGACGATCATGATGACGATGATCAACCAATTGATTGTGGATTACAACTAATACATTTGAAGATGATGATTATGAAATAATAATAATTGAATTTTCTGTTTTCTTTTTATTATTATTATTAGATCGTTCTCGCTCTTACCCTTCTTGCCGGTCAAACTTTGGCCTCATCCAACTACGGATCATCAAGCTACGGATCAGCCCCAAGCTATGGAGCCGCTTCATACCCATCAGGTTCATACGGTGGTGACTCATACTCGTCAGGTGCTTCATATGGAGCTGCTGGTTACGGTGACGCTTCTCACGCCGTCAGTTACGCACCAAAGGTCAAGAAAATCATCATTGAACAACCAGTTGTCAAACCAGTCTACCTTAACCGAAAAGTCGTCTCTGTTCAAACTGTCTCTGTCCCAAAACCATACATCGTCACCAAACACGTTCCAGTCGTAGTTAAGAAACACGTTCCAGTTGTTGTCAAGAAATACGTTGCTGTTCCTTATGAAGTCCCAAGCTACTCAGCTCCTTCATACGGCTCATCATACGGCTCATCTTACGGTTCATCCTCATACGGAGCCCCATCATACGGAGCTGGTTCATACTCCGCCGCCGACTCATGGTCTGGTGACAGTTACGCTCCATCATACGGATCAGACTCATATGGCTCATCTTCATATGGATCAGACTCATACGGATCATCAGGATACGGTGATGATTACCGAAAGGCTTAAATTAAACGATCATCCTAATCACAATATCCCCTCTCCATCTGTGTATACCCATTATCCTCCTTCGTCCCTCAATCTCAAACCATTAGTGCTTATAATTAACTCATCATCTTAATTGTTGCATTCAACACTCACCACATCACACATCTTATGTACAGAGCATTTTCAACAATCAACATAATAGTTTTCCTTTCACTTCTTTCCAATTGTAAAGTAGTAGAAACAAAAAACTTTCAACTTGTATCATTTATCATCTGAATAATGTAACTGATCAAATTGCTCAATTCGAAATGTAAAACACAATCAACCTAATCATTTGGAACTGATTAGGTTTTTACAAATTGAAATTAGTTCCAAAGCTATTCAGCCAAAGGTCACAATCAAATGATTTGACCAAATCTAGAAATTAAATAAAAAACAGATTAATCAATTACTATCAAAAAACACGAAACGATTCACAATTTATTTTCAAACTAAATAAACTTAATATCAACTAATCAACAAATCGTTAACCATCAGAACGACATTAAGATAAGCAGCTTCTCAAATAGCAATTTGAATTACTTTCCATTCACACTAATCAACTATCAAGATAAAACAATTGAAGTTAATTTCCGCTTCCTACTGACGTGGAACTAATTTATTATTCAATTAGTCAGTTAACTAATTTTCTTAATCAAATAAACATTTGTTTTCACGAATCAATTAACAGCAAAAATTGATTTCCAATAATTTCAATTGATGAAAAATTTATTGGCCATAAATAATTTTGAGTGGAATGTGTATTTGTATTAATTGTTTGTGTTTTGTCCAACAATTAAGAAAATTTCATTCACCAACAACACAATATTGGTTGATTAACATTTCCCTTTGATTGTTCAATGATGATTACTGATTCCATGAAGCTCCATGTATGTTGGAAGTCAATTGTAATTGTTAAATTTGGTTAAATTGTTTGTAATCTGGTTGTTGGCAAAAGATGATTTGTCCGTCGTTTAATTGGATACCCATTTTAAATCCGATGTTGATGGTAATCAAAATGTGTAACAATCAGCTATTTATATATTTATAATGGTTTAGAATTGTGAGAAATTTAATATTATCTCAGTTTTTTGGAAGAATTTGAGTTGAGAGAAATAGAGAGAGAAAAAAATTTGTTTATCCTAACTGAATATCTAATTGTTGCTTTCGTATGATTTACTCTCATAGTCAAGCATATGTTGATTGTTTGTTGATTGTTTGAAGATTTAGGTGTTGATCACTTTTTCTTTTTTGCCGCTGCTCCGGATAATGGATCTTTTTTCTGTTGTTTCAGTTTCTTTTTTTCCTCTTTGCGTTTTTCCTTCTCCTGTAAGGATTGGATCAACTTGTAGGCAAAGAAACCTAAAAGAGAAAAGAAAATGAGAAAAGACAAATTAGTGACATGTATTGGAAATTTTAATGATTAGAAAATCAATGTGGTCAAAGGTGAGAGGATAGAATTGCGATTAGTTGATCAATCGAGAGGCTAAAGGGAAAACATACCAATTGAACCAACGACTAAGAAAATTAACAAAAATCCTATTGGAATCATGGCAACAAAATGAAAGGTTATAATTTGTTTTCTTTTACTGGAGATTAATTTTAGATGAGAGAGACTAGTGAATGGGCTTTTTTAAACGGAAGAAAAGAAACAAGTTAGATCACAATTAACAGAAATAAAGGTTCACTGATTTAACTGTTATTGGATTAAAGGGATAACAGAAAATATATAAGCAAAAACACAAGGCTGGTGATTAAATAGATCAATCAAGGAGGAGCTGAGAAGAAATAAAAAGTAAAGTAAGAGAAGAGAAAAAAAGATAATTGTCTACGTGGATAAATGATAAAAACCCAGTATATGATGATGATGATGATGATGATGGCGAGAGAGAGAGAGAGAGAGAGAGTGACTTGATGTTGATGGCCTCAGAAAGGCAATGTAAACAGTTGATGTTGCCTGATTATCATCATAACACTTAACATGACTGGGTAGATGAAGTGATCACTAGGTATTTACTCAGAATTGACAGTTGATCAATTTAATAGACTCTGAACAAATTCCTAGTGAATATCTGTTGTAGTGGGTGATGAAGTTAGCAAGAATACATACAAGGAAAGAGAGAGAGAGAGAAGAAAAAAATGAAAGAAAGAGAAAAAGAAAGAAATGAATCCAGAGAAAGAGAGGGAATATGAAAAAAAAGGTAAACAATAGAATGAAACAAAAAGAAAATGATAGAATTTAAAAGAATTACCATGTTTAACTATTAACGACTATTTAAACATGAGAGAAACTAAACAATTAAGGTTAATTGGTTAGAGGAAAATTATAGATTGAGATGAAATTTGGAAGCAATTAACTGGTGACAAATTTGTTTCTACTTACAGACCAAAGCCAATGTGATGATCGCTGGTCCGATGAATATCCAGTTACTGAAACGATGTTCAATTGGTCCTTCCGGTCCCCCTGAAAGGTCAACCATGATTAGAGATGAGATTCAGTTGGAATAGAAGAAAAAGAAAATAAATAAATAAATGAAGATGAAGGATGAAAATGAAAAGATGAAAATAAATACTCTCTGGATGGGAGACCAACAGCAAATGGAAAACATTTGTTTACAATAACAGAGAAAGAGAAATGTTTTCATTTTCTCCTCTTTCGGTTACTCTTTCTTTCTCTTTCTTTTTATCTCATCTTTTCTCTTTCATTAAAGTTTTAATCAACTGGTGATTTCCAATTCCAGTCTCGATTAAATCACTTACAATCAAGAACAAAAAGGAAACCAAATCATCGAGCAATCAAATCTTAAAATATGAACAAATTAAAACCAATTCTTTTTTGGTGTAAACAAATCAACTCTTTTTGTGTAACCGGTAAATCTGATTGTGATCAACTTGATGGACAATTAAGTTGATAAGGTACAATTAGTAATTTCTGTCATTCAATTTTGTTTGATTTTCTGTGACAATTTTTTGGAGGAAAATGTTAACTTACAATTAACTTTTTTTTGTTTCTATGGTTAACTAATTATTATTATGGAACTAAATTAATTGTTCTCTTAGCTTGATTAACTGATTAATTGTGACTGATTTTTAACTGGCCATTTATGCTCGATAGTTTAACTCTTTTTGGATTTGAACTTAATTGCCAAAGAAATTATCAAATGTTTGCTTATTTTGATTATTTTGTGAGAATAAGAGAAAAAAAAGAAAAGAAAAAATTTTCAATTTACCCGCCAGTTTTTTTCTCTTTCTTTTTTTCGCTTCCTCTTTCTTTCTGAAACCAGAAAAATGATCATCTGGTTGGTAATAAAATTCTGTTTATTTTTAGTGAACAAAATGATCGCTCAGATTAATTGTTTCTTTCTTTCAATTGTTTCCATTTAATTGTTAACATTTTTAGTTCTAATTGATTAGTTAAAATAATAGTCTATCATCACTTTATTCTGATTAAATAAAAATCATTCATTACAAATCATTCAGTGGAAAAACATTTGATTAAAGGTAACTACTTATATTTATTTTTCCAACCACAACCCATGTTTTCAGATTTTCTTTAATTATTTGATTCATGTTTAACTACAAATAGATTTCGAATTCCTTTGAAACTTAATTGTTTAGGGTGACTATTATTACATATCGAAAATATTTCGAATGAAAAGAATCTCTTGCTCAACTATTGTTCTTTTCTACCGATTGGTCGAAGTTCAATTTCTCATAACAATGTTACAGTGGAAAATGTAACTTTCTGTTAATCAAATTAGATTAATCTAATATCTAATCGTCTGTTCTTCATTTAATTGATGTTCTATTGTTTATTAATTTCATTAACAATCATATTAATATCTTATTTAAAGCGAAATTTGTTTTCTTGGTTAAAATTGATTCCTTTAGTAGAAAAAATCATGATATTCTAATCTTATTAATGTTCTTTTCTTTTCTTTTATTCTTTAGACTGGAAAACTACAAAGTAATGTCTTTATTTATAGTCGATCAATTGAAAGAATTGAAACTAATCATCATTGCTAATGTAAAATATTGTGAAATTAAGTTAAACAAGCAATGAACCAAAGACAATTGTAGATTGAAAAGTTACCAAAGTGTTGTGATTTTTTCCCTACTGGATGGATGAGGTTACTTAATCATCACACTTCTCGTCACCAAACCCAAACCCAAACCCAAAACCACAATTGTCACCAAGAAGATCATAATAATCATCTTGATCCCTCTTCTAATCATCAAAAACATCAACATTTCAGAGAACCAATAACCATAGGAATGAACGAGGATAGCGGACGAAACTCATCTGACTACATTGTCCATCATTTTAACTCTCAAAATGCTAAAAAAATAGCCACCATTTTAGTTATATCTCTTATACTTTACCATTCAGTTTTACATATTGGTTATGGTAATTACTCATCCAAATGATTAATCAACTTGATTAGTTTATCCTTGTAGACTAATACATTTACCATATTTCCCTTTCCCCTTATTTTTCATCTTATTTGTACCATCAAGGAATCAACTCTTGCAAGTGGCTACTTAGTGATGGACGACTTCAAGGTTACAGAGAGTGGCAGCCCTATGGGTGTATGCTCCATACGTACAGTAAAATGTAAGTCAAGTTTAGATACAATTATTAGTAAAATTAATCACTAATCAATTAAATTTCATTGCTCTTTCTACAGGGACAGTAGAGTTTGTCTTCGATACATTGCTTACTGGGGTGGACAGAATTATATTGTTTTTATTGGTGATTCTCGTATTCGACAGTTATATTATGCCTTCATTAACTTAATCAATCCCAATTTGGATACACCAATTGTTGATAGTCCAGTTCACCACGATATGAAAGTGGAAGAAAAAGATTTACATTTAAAGGTTGAATTTTTATGGAGACCAGTGATTAATGAATCAATGTTCACCTCTTACCAAAATTGGCTTAACTCTGATATTTCAACTCGACCCGAGGTTGTTGTAACAGGAAGTGGAACCTGGACAATTAAGTCAAGTAATGCTAGTCTTAAAGCCTTGGAAAATTACAAGACCAATTTAACCCGATTGTTACCCTACATGGACCGAATGGGCTGTGAATTGTTTTGGGTCCTTCAAGATCCAGTTAATCCTGAGAAACTTGATCCAAGTCGTTCAATGATCTCCAATGAGCAAATAGATTTATACAATAAAGCAGCAATTAACGTTCTTAAATATACAACCTCACCCAAGGTACACATTTGGTCATCTGCACGTCTAGTATCCCAAGGCTATTCGGACGACCAAAAAGATGGACTTCACATGGGACAAACAGCGCTCAATTATGCTGTTCAAATATTACTGAACATGTATTGTAACGATCAGATGAATCATAATGATGGAACCTGTTGCTCTGATCCTGAATCGATTACCAATATTCAAATATTAACATTTTCATTTATTCTGGTCTGTAGTATACTTGCTGTTACCTCGGTGGTTCATCGATTTCTAACTTCTCACTCTCGTCGACGTTGGCAACCCTTAATTGACCAAGAAGAGATTGAATTGATGGACAAGGGTCATGAAAACAATGGTAATGGTAACTCATTACCACCAGTCGCTTCTTCTTCCTCATCAACACCACCCAAAATTCATTCATCTTCAAATCGCTTAAAAGAGATGGAGAAATCATATCATGAACTTCTTACCTCTCTGGCCAAGTTCGGAATTTTAATGGCCTTTTTTTTCCTCTGTGATAGAACCAATTTTTTCATGAAAGAGAACAAGTATTATACGCACACCTCTTTCTTTTTACCAGTAGCCTACGTATTTGCTCTCGGCCTTTTTTTCACCGAAGAGTCAAGGTACACATATGTACTTCATCGAGATCAAACCGACGAGTGGAAAGGCTACATGCAACTTATCGTTCTGATCTACCATATGACCGGTGCGAGTCAAATTCTCTCAATATATTTTCTCATTCGCTCCATGGTGGCTGCTTATCTCTTTCTCAGTGGCTATGGACATTTCACTTATTTTTGGCATACAGGGGATTTCAGTTTCCAACGAGTTTGGAAGGTAGTTACTCTACAATCAACAGTCAATTAAGAATTGAAACTAATTTCATTTTGTATTTTCCACTTCATTTACATAGGTTTTGTTTCGTTTAAACATCTTGGTGGTTTTCTTGTGCTTAATGATGAGTCGTCCATACCAATTTTATTATTTCGTGCCATTGATTACTTTTTGGTTTATAATTATTTATGCAACAATGAGTAGCTTCCCGCAAGTTACCAGCAGTTCAGCTGAAGGTTAATAACAGTTCTTATTGTGAACAGTGATCACCCATTAACACACGATTCTTTTGAAATTAACATGAAACTTTTTTCTTACCTTAATTTTGGTTCTCTTATTTAGTCAATCCAATTCATCATCTTTACTTGATTCTCAAATTTGTGGCTTTACTGATCGTAATATCAGTACTTTATATGTCAGAGGTTTTCTTTGAAAAAATATTTCTCACTCGCCCATGGAAAGCATTATTCGTAACCACCGATGATTCAATCAAGGAATGGGAATTTCGTTGGAAACTTGATAGATATGTAAGGATAATCTACCTGATAACCTGCAATTTAACAATTGAAAATCTTATTGTAAATGTTTCTTTCATCAACTAGGCTGTTCCGGCTGGGATGCTTTTTGGTTATTTCTATTATCTTCTTAAACACTTTCACATATTGGATGATAAAAATCATGGCAATCTATTTTCAAGAGGAATTAGTTTAATCGTAACTGCTTCATCATTACTTGGAATAATTGTAATTATAGCTAATCAATACAATTTATTTTAACCGCGAGATTAACTGTTTGGTTTCTATTTCTTCCTCAGGGTTATGCAAGTTTTGCTTTTCTATGTCACAATAAGGAAGAATGCAATGTTATCCATGCTTACATTTCCTTTATTCCGGTTGTATCTTACATTTCACTTCGGAATATTTCTGGTCTTTTAAGGTCTCGATATAGTATATTTTTTGCCTGGTTTGGTCGCATATCTTTAGAGGTTAGATTGATATTAAAATTTCAAACAATTTAGATTACAAATCAACTAATTATTCAATCTTCCTTTTTACCCCTTAGCTTTTCATCTGTCAATATCATATATGGTTAGCAGCGGATACACATGGAGTTCTGGTTCTGATTCCAAGTTTTCCCGTACTTAATGTCATCGTCACATCATTTATTTACGTGTGCATTTCCCATGAAATTAACCTTTTAACACGAACTCTGGTCAAATATGCAATTTCTCCCGATTGGAGGTACATGACGATGAATTTGCTCATTTTCCTTCTCATATTAATACCTCTTGGAATTAGAGATGGAATGTTTTAATCAACCCATTCACTATTACATCGAAAGTTTCAAAATTGTCAATCAATTCTCCTTTCAACATAATTGCCATAAACATTCCTCTTCGTTATTATGATTGTTAAAATCATCATCATTCACCGTCGTTCACAAACCACAACAAAATCAACGTAAAAACTTCACATGTCAACAATTTGATAATCTAGTCAAAATGTTATACTAACCACCTACTGATATGTTATTACAATTAACAAAAAATTACTAAGACAGATTATTTTTTATTATATATACAATTTACTGTAATGACATAACTCACACACACCAAAGTAATATTGTCACAAAAAGTGTTTTATTTACTTTTTAATTATTTAACAATTGTTTCATTTAATTGGATCGATTTACAATTACTGGTGTTTTAGCTGATGTTGAAGATTATTATCATCTTACTGATGCCGAAGGTGGTATATTACAAACTGTCTTTATTGTTAGTTATATGATTATGGCTCCAATTTTTGGTTATCTGGGTGATCGATATTCAAGAAAATATCTAATGGCCGCTGGGATCCTTTTTTGGTCCATGACCACTTACCTTGGGTCAATTATTCCTGCCAATGCTTGGGGCTGGTTCCTTTTCATGAGAGCTATGGTTGGAACTGGAGAGGCTTCTTATTCAACTATTGCACCAACAATAATTGGTGATTATTTTATTGGCACCATGAGAACTCAGATGCTCGGTGCTTTCTTTTTTGCTATTCCCGTTGGATCTAGTTTAGGTTATATTTGTGCTGATTTACTTAAGTACCCAAAACAATTCACAGCCCATTCGGTCCATGTAGGGTAACAATCGAGTTCAAACATTGATGGTGTTTAATTTAACGAGGAAATTGGAATTGGAAGAAAATCCAATCAAGAAGCCGAAGATACCAGCGACTGAAGTTATGGCTCCGAAAATAAGAGATATCCTGTGAAAAGAAAACAAGAAATCGGAGAAAAGCATTGAATTAATTAAGTTTTCTAAAAATAGAATAAAAATAATGAGTCAATTCAGAATAAGGTCAAAGTTTGATTTGTTGTTTGATGAAGGAAATTGAAAGTACCCGTCATGGTCTTTTCCATCGCGAAGTTTGTAAACATTTTCCATGAAATGAGGAGCCCACCATGAGTGATCCTGTGAAACAAACGCAAGTAAATCCAATCGTCGACCAAATGTAAGAGAACTTTAGTTAAATAAATTAAATCTTCTTTAACATTTGATTTTCCATCAGCTCAACACCATCATTGTTCTTCAAGGAAAAGCATCAATAAAACAACAGATAAGACACCTAAGAGTGGAGTCAATCGAAGTGCATATTTCAATCTCGAATGATCTTGAAAGTAAATCAGCACAAATATAACCAAAACCAGATCCAACGGAATAGCAAAAAGGCACCAGCATCTGAGTTCTCATGGTGCCAATAAAATAATCACCAATTATTGTTGGTGCAATATGGATCCTTAGTTCCAACCATAGCTCTATGAAAGGAACCATAGCATTAATAATTGACCATAAGTGGTCATGGACCAAAAGGATCAGCAGCCATTAGATATTTTCTTGAATATCGATCACCCAGATAACCAAAAATTGGAGCCATAATCATATAACTAACAATAAAGACAGTTTGTAATATACCACCTTCGGCATCAGTAAGAGAGATGCAATGAGAGATAAAGTTAACTCAGAGATATGATGTTAAGTTTGTCCACTAATTCAAGTGAAGTTCTTAAAATGGTCAATTGATTAGATATCAAAAGTTATCTTTACTTGCTTAGCATTGACTGTGTGGATGATTTAAAAAGTGGTTGAAAACACAAAGTCTTTGGCTGTAAATGAAATTAGTCTCCATTCTTGATTGGCAATTGTTTTTAGAGTAACTACCTTCCAAACTCGTTGGAAGCGGAAATCCCCTGTATGCCAAAAATAAGTGAAATGTCCATAGCCGAAGAAGAAGAAGAGAGAAGAAGAGAAAGAGATAAAGATAGAATAAATCGATAGACTAATTGTTTGTTTTTGGCATTCGCTTTCAACCATTCGATTGAGAACAATTGTCTCATAGCCTCATCGAAAATCAAACATTGATAATCTTAAAACATTTCCAATTACTTTAAATAAAAATCGCCAATCAAATTGTTAACATTATTTAACAATTGTTTCATTTCATTGGATCGATTTACAGTTGCGGTGTTTTAAGTGATATTGAAGATTATTATCATCTTACTGATGCCGAAGGTGGTATATTACAAACTGTCTTTATTGTTAGTTATATGATTATGGCTCCAATTTTTGGTTATCTGGGTGATCGATATTCAAGAAAATATCTACTTCGCGATGGAAAAGACCATGACGGGTACTTTCAATTTCCTTCATCAAACAACAAATCAAACTTTGACCTTCCCTCATTATTTTTATTCTATTTTTAGAAAGCTTAATTAATTCAATGCTTTTCTCCAATTTCTTGTTTCCTTTTCACAGGATATCTCTTATTTTCGGAGCCATAACTTCAGTCGCTGGTATCTTCGGCTTCTTGATTGGATTTTCTTCCAATTCCAATTTCCTCGTTAAATTAAACACCATCAATGTTTTAACCTCGCAATTAGATAATATTACAATTATATCTAATATTCGGAGGCTGTTAGGTGTTTGCTGAGATTTACCTTTGATAATCAGCCAATTGTGGCCAATTAGTTAATCCAAAGAGACACTTTTTTATTACTATTACTTGAAAATCGTAATAAAATGAAAAATAATAAGTGACTATGGACATTTATTCTGGTCTGTAGTATACTTGCTGTTAACTCGGTGGTTCATCGATTTCTAACTTCTCACTCTCGTCGACGTTGGCAACCCTTAATTGACCAAGAAGAGATTGAATTGATGGACAAGGGTCATGAAAACAATGGTAATGGTAACTCATTACCACCAGTCGCTTCTTCTTCCTCATCAACACAACCCAAAATTCATTCATCTTCAAATCGCTTAAAAGAGATGGAGAAATCTATCATGAAAAGCGAAAGATGTACCTCCATGGAACATGTACCTTGACAATTAAATTAAATTCAACAAATTGTCATAATTAATCAGCTCTAGCAATCAATCCTTAAGAAATTATTTTTCATTATCGCTTATAAACTAAAGACTAGAAAAAAATTCTAATGAGATGAAAGCGATGGCTCAGCTTATATCCACTCTCGGAGTTTCTTGTGTTCGCTATTAATAGAAACTATTTAAGTTCCATGTAAGGTTACGAAAGAATAAAAAGAAAAGAAGATGAAAGAAGATGAAAGAAGAGAGAGAGAGAGATGATTCAGTCTGAGTTCTCCTCAACATCACCAAGACTCAATTTAAGAATAAATCTTAATTTTCATTAAGAGAAACCAATCGAAAATTAAACAATACAAGTTAATTCATCATCTTTTCCAGTACATTTTCGTTTATCATCATGTAATTAACTGTTAATTGCTTTATTTTATTTTCTATAAACTTTTAACAATTAGTGATAAAAAGTTTAATTGTGATTTCTGGTCCATTTGTTTGTGTGTTTGTGGGCTGATTTTCATTCAATTGGATTTGCCGTGTTCATCATTAGCGATCATATTAATTAATCACAATTAGTATGTTTTCGTCAAGAGGAAATGTTACTAATTTTTCCCAACAATCAGCATCATCATCATCTCGTACATATGCGTAAGTTAATTGTAATCTACTGACTGAACTGTTGATTTTTGCAATGATTGTATTTCTTATTAATAGCTGATTAAGTTTCACGTTTGGAACAGTTTTTAGTTTTCCAATTAATTAGAAATTGAAACTTATAACAACAATAGGTAACAATCGGGTTAAATTGGTCTTGTAATTTGTGTAATTGGTCTTTTAAGCGATTTGAAGATGAATGAATTTTGGGTGGTGTTGATGAGGAAGAAGAAGCGACTGGTGGTAATGAGTTACCATTACCATTGTTTTCATGACCCTTGTCCATCAATTCAATCTCTTCTTGGTCAATTAAGGGTTGCCAACGTCGACGAGAGTGAGAAGTTAGAAATCGATGAACCACCGAGGTAACAGCAAGTATACTACAGACCAGAATAAATGAAAATGTTAATATTTGAATATTGGTAATCGATTCAGGATCAGAGCAACAGGTTCCATCATTATGATTCATCTGATCGTTACAATACATGTTCAGTAATATTTGAACAGCATAATTGAGCGCTGTTTGTCCCATGTGAAGTCCATCTTTTTGATCGTCCGAATAGCCTTGGTATACTAGACGTGCAGATGACCAAATGTGTACCTTGGGTGAGGTTGTACAGTCAAAGACTTTGTGTTTTCAGCCACTTTTTAAATCATTCACACAGTCAATGATTAAGCAAATAAGGATAACTTTTGATATCTAATCAATTGACCATTTCAAGACTACATCACTTTGATTAGTGGACAAGCTTATCATCATATCTATGGGTTAGCTTTATCTCTCATTGATTATATTCAACAACGTAAATGATTGCAAAAGTGGTTGTAAACTCAGAGTATTTGGTTGTATATCTAAGAACGTTAATTGCTGCTTTACTGTATAAATCTATTTGCTCATTGGAGATCATTGAACGATCAAGTTTCTCAGGATTAACTGGATCTTGAAGGACCCAAAACAATTCACAGCCCATTCGGTCCATGTAGGGTAACAATCGAGTTCAAACATTGATGGTGTTTAATTTAACGAGGAAATTGGAATTGGAAGAAAATCCAATCAAGAAGCCGAAGATACCAGCGACTGAAGTTATGGATCCGAAAATAAGAGATATCCTGTGAAAAGGAAACAAGAAATCGGCGAAAAGCATTGAATTAACTAAGCTTTCTAAAAATAATGAGGGAAGGTCAAAGTTTGATTTGTTGCTCGATGAAGGAAATTGAAAGTACCCGTTATGGTCTTTTCCATCGAGAAGTTTGTAAGCATTTTCCATGAAATGAGGAGCCCACCATGAGAGTGATCCTGTGGTGAAACAAACGCAAGTAAATCCAATCGTCGACCAAATGTAAGAGGGAACTTTAGTTAAATAAATTAAATCTTCTTTAACATTTGATTTTTCCATCAGCTCAACACCATCAGCCTCGCCTCTTGGCGGTTCTTCAAGGAAAAGCATCAATAAAACAACAGATAAGACACCTAAGAGAGAAGTCGATCGAAGTGCATATTTCCAATCTCCGAATGATCTTGGTATATTACAAACTGTCTTTATTGTTAGTTATATGATTATGGCTCCAATTTTTGGTTATCTGGGTGATCGATATTCAAGAAAATATCTAATGGCCGCTGGGATCCTTTTTTGGTCCATGACCACTTACCTTGGGTCAATTATTCCTGCCAATGCTTGGGGCTGGTTCCTTTTCATGAGAGCTATGGTTGGAACTGGAGAGGCTTCTTATTCAACTATTGCACCAACAATAATTGGTGATTATTTTATTGGCACCATGAGAACTCAGATGCTCGGTGCTTTCTTTTTTGCTATTCCCGTTGGATCTGGTTTTGGTTATATTTGTGCTGATTTACTTTCAAGATCATTCGGAGATTGGAAATATGCACTTCGATCGACTCCTCTCTTAGGTGTCTTATCTGTTGTTTTATTGATGCTTTTCCTTGAAGAACCGCCAAGAGGCGAGGCTGATGGTGTTGAGCTGATGGAAAAATCAAATGTTAAAGAAGATTTAATTTATTTAACTAAAGTTCCCTCTTACATTTGGTCGACGATTGGATTTACTTGCGTTTGTTTCACCACAGGATCACTCTCATGGTGGGCTCCTCATTTCATGGAAAATGCTTACAAACTTCTCGATGGAAAAGACCATAACGGGTACTTTCAATTTCCTTCATCGAGCAACAAATCAAACTTTGACCTTCCCTCATTATTTTTAGAAAGCTTAGTTAATTCAATGCTTTTCGCCGATTTCTTGTTTCCTTTTCACAGGATATCTCTTATTTTCGGAGCCATAACTTCAGTCGCTGGTATCTTCGGCTTCTTGATTGGAGTTTCTTGTAATTCCAAGAAATACAGTCAAATCAATTTCTTCTCAACGAAATGAGTCAATCGATTTAAGATTCAATCATAATGAAAAGTCCATATGAATTCATGGAAAAGAAGAATATGAGAAGAGTAGAAGAAAATTCTAATGAGATGAAAACGATGGCTCAACTTATACCCACTCTCAGAGTTTCTTGTGTTCGCTATTAATAGAAACTATTTGAGTTCCATGTAAGGTTACGAAAGAATAAAGAGAAAAGATGATGAAAGAAGAAGATGATTTGGTCTAGATTCTCATCGTGTATTTACTTGCAATTTAATTGCTAAGATAAATGTATTGCCATTGACAAAAATATATCCATTTAATCATTGAAATAATTGAACAAATTTCAAGACAATCGAATGTAAATTCAATTGATAGACTATCAATGTACAAGATGATTATCGTTTTTTCCTGTACAAATTATGAAATTTCAGAACCTTGAATGATGAAAACATCGATAAAAATTTTAAACTATTGAACCGGTTCAATGTTTAACTGTGAATTTGTATTCAGAACTTATCGACAATCATCAAGTATATCAAATGATTTATATTAACTGGTGAGAGATTTTGAAGGAATAATTATCTCAATGGTAAGAAATACTGAGCAAATTGCTCGCAATCAGAGACATAATATTATTGCCTTTCTAATGGAAGATGAGAAAAAGATGAGGCTGTGGAAATCTAAAAAATGAATACGTTGTAATCATTATGATGATGAGAGAATCAGATTAGACTCGAAAATGAAGTTAGGTTACTAGAAGAAGATGATGGAATTGATGAGAAATTGAGCTAAATTTAAACAGATCAACGATGCTTAACGTGTCATCTACATGGTTGTTATTGAAATACATGAGCATTTACATTGAATGGATATTTTTAGTTCTTGTGAGTCGAAAAAAAGAAAATAACAAAATGTGAGATCGAATATGTAATTCAGTTAATCTGTGACTACTGTTCATCCAAATCTCTTCGATAGTCTTTCAATACTTTACCCAAGTGTTAATTAGAAGAGAAAAAATTATCAACAATCGTGATTAACTTCATTGTTACTTGTTGATAATCAACCCTTTTTCCTTTACCTGTTTAATTGAAACTCTTTCTGATTACACCTGATAACCTTTTTGAAACAGTTGATTGTGTATTGTTGATATCGATCAGAGAGACAATTAGAAAAGTTAAATTGTGGTCAAGTGTTGATTTTCTTTGTAAATTGTGATTGTTACAGTTAACATCGTTAGATAAGTAGATATCACGATGATCAAACCTTCCCCTAAGGGCAAATCAGTTTCGTCAGTTAAAGGCAATCAACCAAAAGTGTAAGTGATTAACTGTTATCAAAGTGTAAATTGTTCAATTTAAATCAAGAATTCACTTTGACTACTTATCACAATCAGCCAGTGGCTCTTAGTGGTGTTTTTATAATGGTAGATTCGTACCATTATTGAATATTTAAGATTGTAATCTAATTGTTGTTTATACTTGACAATTCATGTAAATTTACATTTTCAGTGATTTCGATATGAATCGAATTTTTAATTTTTCTTTTCGTTTCTTTTTTTTCCTATGGTTTAAAGTGTCAAGAAATTGAAAACATCTAATTCAAGTCCACCAGTTTTCATCCGTTTACCAGCGACCGCTCAATTTATTGAAGGTGGAGATGCGACATTTGAATGTCAAGTCTCAGGTGATCCAATGCCTGAGGTTGTTTGGACTCGACGAGGGGCCGTTATCGTAAACGATGACCGTCACTCCGTCATTTATAACCCAACCAATGGTCAATCCGTGTTGTCCATTAAGAACCTTACAATGGACGATGATGGAGAGTACAACTGTACAGCTTGTAACTCGGCTGGTGAAGCATCTCTAACGGTTTCAATTACTAAACAACCTCAACGTAAGTTTATCTAATTATCACCGAAGAACAATATTTTCTCGGTTAAAATAACCCTTAATCGTCTAGAAGAAATAGTCGACGATAAAAGTTAATTTCAACATGTAGTTGAATATTTTTCTTTAGTTACTTCAAAGTCAATTAATCAATCCTGTTAATCTTTAGGATAAGTGACAAAATAGATATGATGATTAAGAATTAAATCGCTGCCAAAATACTCACAATATTTAGAAGGAAAAATTATCAATGTTAAGATTTATTTTCTCGACTGTTTATTAGTAATCTTCATCTATTTATATTCACAGAGATACCAATTTAACAGTAAATCTTGATTCCTATTAGCTGTTTACCGGTGTTAATTATGACGAGACCTTGATGACTCAGATCGATCCTTCATACTGATGTATTCACTGAAAAGAGACACAAACAAATTCATTTTCATGTAGAATATTCAGTTTCCATGGTATCTAATTTCAGAATTTTACTCACCAGGATAAATTTAACGGGAAATTAATCGTTCAATTTACCGAATAAGATCGAAATCAAACTCTAATGAAAATATCATTTAATCAGTTGAACGACAATCAGTTTACCAAAATGCAACTTACTCAATCAAATGAATCAGTATCTTAAGAATCCACTTGACAGTTTTATGAGGTCAAAATATTGATTCTCTGTGAATTGATTAAGATAATTAAGGTTTATAGTTGACTAATAATTGAAAATCTAATGGTTTTCTTTTCTACCTTTCGATTGTAAAAGTTTGGCCTGTTTCCAATTTAAGGTAGTGAAACTAAAAATTGACACATAACTTTAATTATTGATTATTCATCAATCAATGCGTTTTAATCATCTTAATTTTCACCAATGATAGAACAGTTTGAGAAGAATCTAATGATATTAAATAATAGTAAATTCGATAGTTAACAGAAAATTAACAACTATTTTAAGATTAATTGTTGAAAATGAATGAAACCTCAAGATTGCAATAATTAGAAAACTAATCAAGTTAATTGAATATCATATTGGAACCATGAATACGAGTCACATTTGTAACACAAATTAAAACAGTTATTTGCTTTATTGTTGATTTATCTTTTATCAGAATCGTGAATATAAAATCTTGACTTCCAATCAAATCATTTGATTCAATCTGGTTCAGCTTAAGCTTTTAGATTTCATGGTCTCTCTTACCTCGTCTCTCTTTCTTTCCTAAAAAGTTCTGTGATAATTATTTTTGAGTTAAAATAATTGGAATGAGAAAGTAGATTGTTGGCCCAATTCCCTCGGTTGTTTACTTGCCTCTGGCTTGTTTCCATACTCTTTCTATTTAGAAATGAGATTGAAATTCGTCAACAGATTGCCTGTTCTTCATGATAATCTAATCTAATTATTATTATTTCATTGTATCAACTACTTTTCTCAATAGAAACTTATTTCAGACAAATTCAAGAGACAGAGGTTCAATCTCGCCAACCACAACAATTGAATCGAGGTGGAGGACAATACATGGGCACAATTCACCAAAGCCAATCACAGACCAAGATTCAACAAGAGAAAAGTAATTACATGGTTGACAGTTTATCAGGTCCTTCTTTTTACAGTGGAACAGATCAAAATTTTCTAGTTGACACTTTTGAATATCGTTTACTTCGAGAGGTTGATTTTCGTGAGACAATAATTCGTCATTATTATGAGACATTGAACATCTTATACGAGGGTATCAATGAACAGCCTCTTCCAGGTCGACCCATATCAGCGCCAACCGTTATTCAGAAACCAAGAAATTCGAAGCTTCTTGAAGGATCAGATATTACATTCCAAGCTCGAGTAACAGGAAATCCTCCGCCTAAAATATATTGGTTCAAAGATGGACGGATTCTGGTACCATCGTCAAGAGTTTCCATCAGGTATCAGGATAACTTGGCAACTCTTCAAATAGTCAGTGTAACACCCGAAGATGCTGGTTACTATACAATGTTTGCCGAGAATCGAAATGGTCGAATCGCTTCATCCTGTCATCTCGTCATTGAAGCTTTTAACAACTTTCAACCCCCAATTCAACAACAACAACCGCTAATTCAACAATATCAACAACAACAACAATCAACAGTTTATCAACGAACCGAGAGTGTTGAAGATCCTTCTGGTGTATCAATGAAAGGACTGAAACCTCATTTTATCAAAACCCCGAGTGATCTTGAGCTGCCTGAGGGTAAAATGGTTCGATTTGATTGTCGAGTTGGTGGTCGTCCAGCGCCCGAAGTTACTTGGTATCATAATGGTAATCAAGTTTTAGATGATTATCGACATAAAATATTGATTAATGAGGGAGGTGTTCATTCATTGATGATCCCCGTAACTCATCGTAATGATGGTGGTGCTTATACATGTCGTGCTCAGAATAAAACGGGTGAGGTGACATGTAATGTTAATCTTTCCATCATTGAGAAAGAATTGATTGTTGCACCTAAATTTGTTGAACGTTTCAAAACAACTCATATTCGTGAAGGTGAATCATTGGCATTACATATTCGTGCCATCGGTACACCAATACCTCGTCTTTCGTGGCAAAAAGATGGTAATCAGATCTTTTCATCACCACCAAATGTTATCATTGAAACAAACGAGGGATCTTCATCATTGTATATTAATCAAGCATCAAAAATGATGCCGGTTGGTACCAATGTGTTGCCGCCAATTCAGCTGGAACTGCGACAACTCGAGGTAAGGTTAACATTAACTTTGAACCTTATCGACAACCAACCGAGCAAACTGGCCTCTACCTACCAAAGCCAAGTAAAGTTATCGAACCTGAACCTGAACCCTCGAGTGAGACGGTTTACCTTCGTCACATTGAAAGACCCAAGCCAACAATGAAACGCCAAGATTCAGACGAAAGGTATCATGTAACTAGACCCGCTTTCAGTACACATTTGCGAGATTTGAATGTTCGTGAAGGAGATCGAGCCTCATTCGATGCTCGTCTAATACCCATTGGAGATCCCAACCTGACCATCCAATGGTTTCACAATGGAGCCCCGCTCAAAGCATCATCACGAGCCATGACAACTTTTAACTTTGGTTATGTGGCCTTAACTTTACTCCATATTACCCAAGAAGACGCTGGTCTTTATGTTTGCCATGCAACCAATGAAGTTGGAGAGGCGACTACAACCGCGACATTGAACGTCTCAATCAGACCAGCAATCGAAAGATCAACAGTCCTGCCTGAAAGCTTAGAAGCCATTAGACATCTTGAAGACCACGAACGATACCAAAGACACCAATCAATCGACGAAACTTTTTCGACAGTCCCCCCATTGTTTGTTAAACCATTAACAAATTTGGACGATAAGGTTGAAAACGGTCACGTTCATTTTGAAGCCCAAATAACACCAGTCAACGATCCAACAATGAAGATCGATTGGTTTTTTAATGGTCAACCTCTTGCCATAGGTAGGTCAATAATTAATCATATTAATAATAACAATTTAGTCTAAACCAGAAAATGAAAAATTAAATGGCACAAATTAAACCAAGTGAGATGAAATTTTCATTTCATGGTAACATTAAGGATTAATAAATCAGTTGAATCTAAAATTAGTTACAGCTTTTCCACTCTCTCCAATCAGCATCCTCATCTTTCATCTTCTTCCTTCCTTACCTACCAATAAGATTAACATTATCATCATTATCATTTAGACAAAAATCATAGGTAAAAAAATATAAACAGATACAAAAAAGAAGACAAGATAACACATCATCAATTCCATCATCATCATCACCAGTATCATCTTCATCTCCTTATTATTATCATCTGAATTGAACTAACTTTTTTTCGATATCTTCGATTCCTATCTTAATGGCAATTGGGATGAAAAGTCTTTTCTATCTGCCTTACTTTGAATTGTTTACTCATGATGATGATTGTTGATAGTTGACATTGGCTACTTTTATCATCATAATCATCTCTCTCTCTCTCTCTCTCTCTCTCTCTACTCTTATTTTCCTTGTTGATGTATTCATTGTGATAACAAAGTGTTATCAGGATTAACCAAACCATGAAAATAACTTTGCAACTTTTGCAATCAATTGATTGATATCATCAACTATCAACAATCAACTCCCCTCTAACCATCAACATTATATTATCACCAAAATAATATATAATAATCAGTATTATATCAACCAAAATATTATCAACTATTACAATCAATAATCAAAACCTTCCAAGTATAATAGATGATCATCCAATTTTCATCATTATCATTATCTTTCATCTTCCAATCTACTTTTATCTTTTTCTTTCTCTTTTCATGATCAATTTCATGATGATGATGATCACAATCATACAACCAGAATCATTACCATATAAATATAACTAAATATAAAACATTTATGATACAGATAATTATTCATCAACTTAATTGATTATCTAAGTTATGGATTTTCAAATCTAATTGTAATATCTTTGCAAAAGAAATCACTTTTTTCATAATATCCAAAACTTAATCACAATTAATCTCTTTTCTAATCATAATTTTCTATTATATTTTTTTCATCTGTAATCTTAATCATGATTTTTCCCCAATCGAAAGTGATTAACATGTGACTTGATCGTGTTAACAATCAAGCTGATTGTTATCGTAATTATTACCATTATGATTAGATGGTTTTTCTGTAAATAGGTTTTCAGTCTTTAAACGACTTGATAATTTATCTTGATTGACTTTCATAAATTACGAGCTTGATAAAACTGATTTGATAATTGAAAACCTAACATTGACTTAATTAACTTCATCTTTTAATTGTTAATCTTAGGTAAAAAATTATTAACCCTAATCTCTCAATATCAAATCAATATACTGAATCAATATTCAAAATGTTTAAGCTCAGACTTTTTTACCATGATAACTATGATATTTTTTAGATGAGACGATAGACTAAGATTTTGTTAATATTTCTCAACAGATAATTTGAAATAATTCAATTAATGGCTCAATTAATTAATGGGAACAAAATAAATGCAATGAAATATTAATATGATTTTATCTCGATTATTTCAGGTTCAAGGATTAGTACAATTTTCAGCTTTGGTTATGTTGCATTAAATATTTCTTACCTACGAATCGAGGATTCTGGAGTTTATCAATGTAGAGCATCAAACTCCAAAGGTGAAGCTGTTTCAACAGCAACACTTAAAGTAAAAAGTAAGTTAATTAGATAATTATCTCTAAATTAGCTACGATTGATGATTAATTTGAACTCTGCTCACCTTTAGGTACCGGAGTTGTTACTGGTCGAACCGATTTAGAGGAGCAGCAAGAGTTTATTCGTAAAACTCAGGAATTGGAGGCTTATCGATCAGCTTATCATGGGACAACTTTTGAAGACCCAATACCAAATGAACCACCAACATTTAGAAGACAATTAAGTAATCAGGTTAATATTCTGGAAGGTCGAACAGCTCATTTTGAGGGAACCTTGGAGCCCACAGGTGACCCATCAATGAAAGTTACCTGGTTGAAAGATGGTCAACCATTGGAAGCCTCATCTCGAATTAACAGTTTCTTTAATTTTGGCTACGTTGCATTGACCATTGAGAAACTTGAACTTCGAGACGCTGGTGAATACACTTGTATTGCTTCGAACAATCAAGGCCAAGCTTATACAGCGGCCTTGTTAACGGTAATCTCAAAGAAATCTATCATCACTGATGTTCAATACGAAGATGGTTGGGAAAAGATTCGTCATCTTGAAGATTCATCTCGTTATCATGGAACTCGAGAAGAAGAGATTGAAATCAATGAGAGACCCAAATTTACCAGTCCACTTGTAGGTCCAGATAGTTTGGTTGAAGCTAAATCAGCGCATTTCGAAACCCGATTAGAGCCAATGTCCGATCCAACCATGAAAGTTGAATGGTTTTTCAATGGACGTCCATTGACAACTGGTCATCGGTTCAAAACTTATTTCGACTTTGGTTATGTTGCTCTTGACATGTTATATGTTTTCCCTGAAGATACTGGCCTATTTACAGTTAGAGCCACAAATAAGCTGGGCGAGGCCAGTTTGAGTAAACAGTTGATGGTCACTTCTCGTACATCGATTGATACATCAACCATTCATGAAACTTCAATGAAGCAAATTAAATACTTGGAACGAGATCATGAAGAGCCTTCATATGCTATTGACGATTATTCCAAAGTGAAACCTTACTTTGTCCAACCACTTCGAGATCCTGGTCATGAATTTAAGGAAGGGTCAAAGGTTCACCTTGAAGCTCGAATTGAACCGGTAAATGATCCCTCATTAACTGTTGCTTGGTTTTGTAATGGTAAACCTTTGAAAACGGGGTCACGATTTGTTACCAAATTTGATTTTGGTTACATTTCATTAGATATTCTTGATCTTTTTTATCAAGACTCTGGTGAATATACAGTCAGAGTGACCAATCAATTGGGGTCAGCACACTCATCAGCTTCAGTAAGGGTTACCAAAGACTCGAGGGTTGTAACAGAATCACAGTACCCTGAATCTGTGGATCAGATTCGTCACCTTGAAGATCACTCAAGATATAAGAGGCAAGAAATGGTCGAGACATCGGTAGATCGAGCACCGATATTTACTAAACCATTGAAAAATGTTGAGACCGTTGAGGGAACAAATGTTCATCTTGAAACTCGACTTCTTCCCTCTGGAGATAACTCCATGATGGTTGAATGGTTTGTCAATGGTGTAGCGCTTCCGGTTGGACACAGATTCCGACCAAGATACGATTTTGATTTCGTTTCTCTTGACTTGCTTGGTGTTTATGCCCAAGACTCGGGTATTTACACTTGTAAAGCTAAAAATGCCTTAGGCGAAGCGGTAACGAGTTGTAATATAACAATTTACACAAAGGATCCATCGGTCATTCAAGACCCACAACATCCTGAAGCATATCAACAAATTCAGCATTTAGAAGACCATTCAAGATATAAAAGGTCAACATCAACCGAGGAAATTGTCGCTAGACGGCCTCAGTTTTTAACTCGATTTAAAGATGTTGCCGTTCGTGAAAGTGGAACTGCTCATTTTGAATGCCGAATCGAACCAATAAATGACCCTAAATTGCGGGTCGAATGGTATCACAATGGAACTCAAATGATAACTGGAAGTCGATTCCAGCCATTCTATGATTTTGGTTATGTAGCTATTAATATCCTTCAATGTATTGAGGAGGATTCTGGAGTTTATACTTGTCGGATAATAAACGATTTAGGATCAGCTGATATGAATGTTAATCTAAAAGTTTCATCGAAAGCTTCAATTGAATTGGCTTCTAATAATCCAGAAGCCTTTAAAAAGATAAGACAATTGGAAGATTACTCAAGGTATCAGCGGGAACAGGTCGATGAGGAGGTTATTAGATCAGGTCCAGTTTTCACTTCGGCACCGAGAAGTTCGGTCATAAATGAAGGTGAAAGAGCTCGATTCGAATGTTCATTAACTCCAGTTGGTGATCCAAATTTGAAGGTAATTATCATAATCATAATTTTAATTTTTCCACGCATTATTTGGCCTTCTAATTTCAGGTCGAATGGTATGCAGATGGTAAACCTGTTAAACAAGGGTCTCGATTTGTTCAGATCTTTGATTTTGGCTTCGTTGCGTTAGAAATCATGGGAAGTTATGAGGAAGATTCTGGTCGATATACTTGTAAGGCCACTAATGCTTTCGGTGAAGCGATTGTTTCAGCTGATCTTAAAGTCCATGGAAAACAATCACTTATCACTGAGCCTCAGATACCAGAAAGTTTAGAGGCTATTCAAGCTCTTGAAGGGCATGGTCGAAGGATTCGAGCTCAGATTGATGAGCCGGTCACAAGTCAAGCTCCTGTTTTTACTTCAGCGTTGAGAAACATTGAACTCCAAGAGAATGGTCAAGCTCATTTCGAGACACGAATTATTCCCGTCGGTGATCCCACTCTTCGTGTGGAATGGTTCCACAATGGATTACCCTTACTTCAAGGTTCACGGGTTAAAACTCAACATGACTTTGGTTATGTATCACTCGACCTTCAACGTGTTTTACCCGACGATTCTGGTACATATACATGTAAAGCAACAAACGCCTTAGGTCAAGCGATTGCCTCAGCTACTCTCAAAGTAACTGCCACTGGAAGCATTTTGGTTGATTCACAATTCCCTGAAGGATTGCAAAAAATTACTCGATTAGAGTCTCAACAAAAGTATCGACGTGAACAAATCGATGAACGTTCAACCGAATCGAAGCCTGTATTTGTAACAGCTCTCAAAGGACCAGTTGAGCTAGCCGAAGGCTCCTCTGCTCACTATGAATGTCGCATTGAACCTTTCCCAGATTCAACCATGAAAGTTGAATGGTATCGTAACGGGCAACCGTTGACTTTAGGTCATCGATTCCGAACAATGTTCGACTTTGGTTTCGCTGCACTTGACATTCTCCAAGTTATATCTGAAGATTCTGGTGAATATACAATAAAAGCTTCTAATCATTTAGGAAGTGCAACTTCATCAATTGCAATTCGAGTTAAAGGAAAAGAGTCGATCATTTTAGAGCCTCAACAACCAGATTCTATTGCAAAGATTCGTGCTCTCGAAGGTCAAAATAGATACTACAGAGAGGAAATTCGTGATGTAGAAATACGAGAAAAGCCGAACTTTGGTCGACCATTGTACAATCTTGATAACCTCCAAGAAGGCCAAACAGCACATTTAGAGGCCACTCTAACTCCGGTCAACGATCCATCAATGAAAGTTGAATGGTTTGTCAATGGTGTTCCAATTGCAACTGGAAGCCGATTCAAAACTATGCACGATTTTGGTTATGTAGCTTTGGACATTGCTGATATTGTCCCAACTGATTCGGGAGTTTATATGTGTAAAGCTACAAACAAAAATGGCGAAGCGGTTGTAACTTGTTCAGTTCGAGTTTCTGGCAGTTCACCTATTGAAACGGGTACTCTTCATGAGGAATCGTTAGCCCAAATTCAACGATTAGAATCAACTTATGTCCGTCCAACTGAGGGACCTTTACCACCCCAACAACGGCCAGTTTTCACGAAACCATTGAAAAGTATCGATGGATTGAAAGAAGGTCAGTCGGCTCATCTTGAGTGTCGCTTAGAGCCAATCAATGATCCCAAATTACGAGTTGAATGGTTTGTCAATGGTATTGCGATTAAAACTGGCCATCGATTCCGAACAACTCATGACTTTGGTTACGTTGCATTGGACATTCTGTATGCATTCGCTGAAGATTCGGGAACTTATATTTGCCGTGCAACCAATGAGCTTGGAGAAGCGGTGACAACTGCATCAATTAATGTTGTGGCCAAAAAATCAATTTATTCGGACACTTATCACCCCGAAGGACTGGAGAAAATCCAAGCTCTCGAAGCTCAAGGATTACCTCAACGATCTGAGATTGAAGATCGACCCGTTTCTAAGCCTGTTTTTGTCTCTGAACTTAGAGGTCGAAATGAATACAATGAAGGCCAAGCCGGTCATTTTGAGGGTCGTATTGAACCAGCTCATGATCCTTATCTGAAGGTTGAAATTTATCACAATGGTAAACTATTACCAGCGGGTAAGTTGTATCAATATTTTTAACATGACGATGAATTTTTCAATTGAAATTAAGTCAATACAATCAATTATAATTTAAGTTTATTCTTTGATATTAATTTTAATGGTTCATACAATTGTGTTACTTCCATAGGATCAAGATTTCATCGAACGTTTGATTTCGGTTATGTTGCTTTGGATATTATGTGTTTGGTTCCCGAAGACAGTGGTACTTATACCGTTCGTGCTTTCAATCAATTGGGTGAAGCGAAAAGTTCAATTAATCTAAAAGTACAGGGTATGACAATCAACACAAAATTAATTTCTTATCATTGCTAATATTGATTTCCAATATTTCCAATACTAATTTTTTTAGGAGCCTCGTCAATCCTTTCGGACACACTTCATTCATCTGCTCTTCCCAAGATTCATCACCTTGAAAATCCGATAGTGGTTGAAAAAGGTCAAGAAGTGGCCACTTTCCAGAGGCCCGTTTTCACGCAAACTTTGACAAATCTTGATAATCTTTCGGAAGGTGGATCAGCTCATTTAGAGTGTAGACTAATTCCCGTCGGTGATTCTAACCTTAAAGTTGAATGGTTCCGTAATTCAGTTCCACTTCAAATGGGTAAGGATTGGAAGAAAATTGCTTATAATTAACAAATTATTTGATCACAAGTTTGATAATTGTTCTTTGGCTGCAATTTAATTTACAGGATCAAGATTCAAAACGACTCATGACTTTGGTTTCGTTGCTTTGGACATAATGTACCTTATGCCCGATCAAGACGCTGGTATTTATATGTGCAAGGCTACTAATCAACTTGGTGAAGCAATTACATCTTGCTCATTGAAAATTAAAAGTAAGTTTAGAGCAATTAACATTTGATCATAACTAATTATTTTCTACTGTGATAAATCATAAATAGCTAAATCATCACTCGAATTGGATACAAAACACCCTGAAGGATTACAAAAGATTCGTCAACTTGAAGAATCAAGTAACAAAATCGAAGCTTTTATCCCTGAAAAGATTTACGAAAGGCCAGTGTTCACATCTCCGTTGGCTGGTCCTTCTGAGGTCAACGAAGGCCAACCAATTCATTTTGAAGCTCGTGTAATACCAACAGATGATCCTAATTTGCAAATTCAATGGTTTGTTAATGGAGTCGAATTACAATCAGGTAAGTTAATTGTTTATGATCAGAGGAAATTTTGAGGAAATGAGTTTTGATCATTTTTATCAATTGTAAATCTTTTTTAGGTTCACGATTCCGAGCTTCGAATGACTTTGGTTTCGTCACACTCGATATCGCTCATGCTTATCCAGAAGATTCCGGAGTTTACATGTGCAAAGCTGTCAATGGAGCGGGTGAAGCTGTTACATCAACCTCAGTTCGAATTAAATCTAAGTCGTCGATTCTTTTGGACTCATTACATCCTGCCGCAGTACAAAAAACCGCTTGGTTGGAAAGCGCTTCATCTCGAATACCTGAGCAAATTGACACCAAACCGGTGAAAGCGCCAGTTTTCATCCGACATTTAACTTCACATGAAATGTTGATTGAAGGTTCAAATGTTCACATTGGTGGTCAAGTTGAACCAGTTGATGATGAGAAACTGGTCATTCAATGGTTTAAGAATGGTAAACAATTGGAAGAGGCTTCACGAATTATAACACGATTCGACTTTGGTCTGGTTAGTTTAGATATTGTTGGTGTTAGACCAGATGATTCGGGAATTTATACTTGTCGAGCAGCAAATGCAGTTGGTGAAGCAGTTTCTACTTGCACAATTAAAGTCGAGAGTAGGGAAAGTTTGGTTCTTGGTACTGAGCATCCTGAAAGTTTACAGAAAATTCGGGAACTTGAATCTTACCAAGTTATCCGAAAAGAAGCCGCTGAGCCAGAGTTTTCGGCCCCTGTTTTCATCACTCATTTGAATAATGTTGAACTAAAAGAAGGTCAAACAGCTCACTTTGAATGTCGTGTCGAACCTTCGAAGGACAATAGCTTACAAATTGAATTTTTCCACAACAATCGGCCTCTTATAACGGGATCAAGATTCTCGGTTAAAAATGACTTTGGTTTTATCACTTTGGACATTTCATCGGCTCAAGCAGAAGATGAAGGTATATATACTTGTCGAGCTAAAAATTCAAAGGGTCAGGCAATTTCTACTGGATCACTTAAGGTCACATCGAAATCATCAATCATATTAACACCTCAACATCCTATGGGTCCTGAGGCATTGGAAAAGATTCAACAATTAGAGGCACGATCTGGTTACACCGCTCCAATTATGGCCGATGTTACTTATCCCAAGCCATATTTCGTTGTTCCTCTTCAGCCCAATTTCACCGTCAATGAAGATCAACCTCTTCACCTTGAATGTCGTGTCGAACCTTCAGCAGATCCAAATTTGACCATTGAATGGTTTGTCAATGGGAAACAACTTGACATGGGAAATAGATTCAATTTAATAAACGATTTTGGTATCGTTGTTTTGGACTTTAAAGATGTCCGAGAACACGACAGTGGTATTTACTCGTGTAAGGCCAGAAACGCTCAAGGAGAGGCATTTACTTCGACAACTATTTTAGTCGTTTCCTCAGACACTAAGATCATTGAATCAACTCTTCATCCTGAAGGGCAAAAAGGTTTAGATGAGATTCATCGTCTTGAAGAATCTTTGAGACGAAAAGAGGTCACTCTCGCCCCAGAGGAAGGGCGAGCACCGGTATTTACAAGTCTATTTAAACCTTTGTCCAATCTAACGGACGGCGATGCTGCTCATTTCGAGGCTACACTAGAACCTGTCGGAGATCAAACAATGAACGTTGAATGGTTCCACAATGGTAAAACACTCAACATTGGACATCGAATTCGAACTTACTATGCCTTTGGTTTAGTTCTACTTGAAATAATTGATCTGAGACACGAAGATATCGGTGAATATCGATGTGTCGCAACCAACAAATGGGGAAGAACTGAAGCAACTGTCCAATTGACGATGGTCGATCGTGAGAAGGGAGAGAAACCTAAATTCACTAAGCAGCTCAGCTCACTGACTAATCTCAAGGAAGGAGATTCAGCTCACTTTGAGTGTAATCTTATTCCTGTTGGTGATCCAAATCTTTTCGTTAAATGGTACCACAATCGAGTTGAACTTCGAGAGTCCTCGCGAATCAAGACAATCTCTGATTTCGGATACGTTGTTATGGATATTTCGTTTGCTCATGAAGAAGATTCTGGAGAATATGTTTGCGTTGCCACCAATAAATACGGTTCTGATGTTACTCGATGTACTCTAACAGTTACAGGATCTGGTGGAATCTTGAGAGACTCTTTGCAGCCTCAAAGTTTGGGTGCAATTGCGGCATTAGAAGGTTCAAATGCTCCTTACAGTCGCTCTCATGTTCAAGTTGATTCGACCCTTTCCGCTCCACCCAAATTTATTACTCAAATTAATTCATTAACTGGACTTATCGAAGGACAATCTGCCCACTTTGAGGCACAATTAACACCACCCAATGATCCTTACCTTAAAGTTGAATGGTATGTTAATGGTAAACTATTGCCCAATGGTCATCGATTCCGAGTCTTCCATGACTTTGGAATTGTTATTCTTGATATTCTAGACTGTGTTGCTGAAGATTCTGGTGAATATGTTTGCAAGGCAACCAACAAATTGGGTACCGATATCACTCGAGCAATCTTAACAATTAAAGCTCGATCTTCAGTTATTTATGATCCACAAATTCCACCTGAAATGGCCTCAAACGAAAGGATCATTGAAATTGAAGAAATGAGGTCTCGTAAACGAACCGAATTGACAGAAATAGTTAGAAGTGAAGCTCCGAGATTCATAAAACCGCTTGAAAATCCACCCGTACTTAGGGAAGGTGAAAATGCTCATCTCGAAGCTAAATTAACACCAACCGATGATCCCGATCTTCAAGTTTTGTGGTTCAAAAATAGTGTCGCTCTTCAAGCTTCAACTCGTATTCGAACCATTCATGATTTTGGCTTTGTTGTACTCGAAATTAGTCCAATTTATCCAAGTGATTCAGGTGTTTATACATGTAAAGCGGTCAATAAATTTGGCGAAGCAGTTACGACCTGTACCATTCAGATCACTGGTAAGCGGTCAATTATTTTGGAGAGTCAATTACCTCAAGGAATGGAAGGTGGAATTGAAAAGATTGCTGCTATCGAAGAAGCTGCATCAAGGGTTAGTGAGGCAACTTTGGACACCGAAATTAAACAACCACCCAAATTTTTATCATCGCCCGAAGATCAAGAGCTTCCTGAAGATGCTATGGGCCATTTTGAGTGTCGACTAACTCCGGTAACCGATCCTACAATGAAAGTCGAATGGTTCTTCAATGGACGTTCTCTAGTTACTGGAAGTCGAGTTAAAACCATCTCAGATTTTGGTTTTATCATCCTCGAGATCGCTGGTGTCTATTCCCGAGACACAGGTATTTATACATGTAAAGCCTCAAACGCTTACGGTGAAGCTACTGTTTCTTGTCGACTTACCGTTAAATCAAAACAATCAATCATCTTGGAGCCTCAATTACCGGAATCATTTATTACTGGCACTGAATCTATTCAAAAATTAGAAGCGAATCTTTGGCGAACACCCGAAATGATCTACGATCAGGAGAAATCAATGCCGCCACATTTTGTTACACATATTAAGGAACTTGAAAAGGCAGAAGGTGAATCAGCCCACTTCGAGTGTCGCCTTGAGCCCGTTGGTGATCCATACCTTAAGATTGAATGGTATCACAATGGAGTCATACTGTTAACCGGATCTCGAGTTCGAACTGTTAATGACTTTGGTTTTGTGGTTCTCGAAATTGACTGGCTTCTCCCCAGAGATACTGGTGAATATGTTTGCCGAGCAACAAATAAATTTGGCACTGATGTGACCAAAGCTATTCTCAAAGTAAGATGTAAGTATTTCATTTCTTGACTTCGAATTTGCTTTCATCATATGGAGAAAATTAATTTACGATTTATATTATTTTTATGTCCAGCTAAACGTGATATCATCTTAGATCCTCAACTTCCTCCTGAATTTTCAGTTGATAAACTGAAACAATTGGACATGAGGGCAAAAAGCACTTTGGTCGAAGAAGAGAGCAAACTTCAAGCTCCTCGATATATTACTCATATTCAATCACTTGAAAATCTTATCGAAGGAGATTCAGCTCATTTCGAGTGTAAATTGTTACCTGTTGACGATCCTCAGCTTAAAGTCGAATGGTATCACAATGGTGAACCTTTAACCTCTGGACATCGATTCAAGACAACCCATGACTTTGGTTTTGTTGCTCTTGACATTCTGTATGTTCACCCTGAAGACTCAGGTGAATACATCGCTCGAGCAGTGAACCAGGTTGGTGAAGATGTGACTCGTGCAATCATCCGATGCCGCGCTCGACAAAAGATTATTTATAATCCTCAGCTTCCTAAGGAAATGGAAAGTGGAATCCAAAAAATTGCTCAAATTGAATCTTCTCGTCAAAGGTAAATCTTATTCTTCTTAGAACAGAAATCAATTTCAAGAATCAAATTAACAATTACTATCTATTATACCTTTAGGTTTGAAAGTGCTGGAGACGCTGGTAACCAAGAAAGAGGTCCTCCAATGTTTGTCATGAAACCCGAACCTCAAACTGTACTGGAAGGAGACTGGGCCAAATTTTGTTGTCGTGTCATTGGTTATCCTCGACCTCGAGTTATGTGGGTTCTTAATGGTAACACCGTTATCAATGGTTCTCGATACAAGTTAAGTTATGATGGAATTTATCATTTGGATATACCAAAGTCCCGACAATATGATAAAGGAAAGGTTGAAGTTTATGCTCGAAACATCCTGGGTGAAGCTCACGTTTGGACAACATTAGATGTGCGACCTCGAAACGACGATTATCGAGCGGTTCTTAAACATTCACCTCGACGTAAGTACTAACACTGTCTATTCCAATAGTTGAGACTGAATAATCTAAAAATCATTTCTTTTGATCGTGTACAAAACTAGCTTGGTACGATTACGATATTGGCAGATATCAAAAGGAAAGAAAAGAAACTGAATTGGATAAAATATTCGAGGAGAAACTTACACCTGGTGGAACTGAGAAAGAGGTTTGGAGAACCGAAGAAAGTGAAGACGAAAGAGTTAAAATCAGAGAATATCAAAAAGATCAAGAGGTGCGAACAGAGCTGATTTATTATTGTGAACATCAGGAATTAATCTGTTTCTTTTTGATTCTTTTACTTTTTAGGCTGCTCCTGAAATCAAACGCTATACAACTGAGGCTATTTATGCCGACAGAAAAGCGATCCAAGAATCCAAGCCTGATGGTCAATCAAATGTATCTTTGATGGCGAAATCATATCAAAGTCATGTTGCTTCACAATCAAAGGAGCCTTTGGAATCAGTTGTTCATGGAAAGGAAATTTTCACCAAACAACAGAAACAAATCCAGAAAGAGTTGCAAGGTGATCTAGAAATCACTCGAAAAATCAGAACTACTGAAACATTGTCACAAGAGCACAAAGGTGTCACTAAAGAGAGAGTCGTGATTGGACCTCCAAGGAAAACACGACCACCCGAATTCACCAAAAAGACTCAACCAGTTCGAGTCTATGAAGGTGAAAGAGCAACATTTGAATGCCATTTTACTGGTGATCCTGCACCGATGATCACATGGTTCAGGGAAAACTTTGAAATTCAAAATTCAAGAGATTTCCAAGTAAGTGCTACAGCCTAGAAAATTATTAATAAGTTTGACTACACTTTTAAATGGAGATACACATAGAAGTGATTATCATATCAATTTAAAAGTGCAGTGAAACTTAATTTTATTTGCTGAATAATACAAAGTTAATCATTACAATAAACTAATTGTTAATATGCTCATCAAATTTTAGATCGAAACAACCGAAACAAAGTCAAGTCTCACAATTCGAGAAGTTTATGTTGAAGATTCCGGTGTTTTCTCTGTAAAAGCTGAAAATCCTGCTGGCTCAGCGAAAAGTTCTGCTAATCTCGTTGTCGAAGGTAAATTGATTTATTCATTTTGATTAAGATGAAACCTTCCCATCTAAATCATTCTTTTTCTTTCACAATATTATTTTAGAGAGAAAAGACCATAAATCAGGAGCAGTTCCACCAAGTTTTTCGAGAACAATCGAAGATACTCGTGCCACTGTTGGTGAACTAGTTCGACTTGATGCTCGAATTGTAGGTTCCAAGCCATTAGATGTTTATTGGCTCAAGAATGGAACAAAAATATTACCTGGAGTTACTCATAAAATGATCGAAGATGAAGATCAGAATACTCTTCTCATATTAGAAGCTCTTGCAGATGATAGTGGATCTTATGAATGTGTTGCAATTAACCAAGTAGGTGAAGCTCGTTGTTCTGCTAGAGTCACGATCGATGGACCCAAAACCCCTTCCGTCCCATCAACACCAACAACATCCTTGCCAGGAAAAGAGAAACCACCAATGTTCACTGAACAATTGCGAGATATAGTTGTCAATGAAGGTGAACCAGTGACATTTAAGTGTAAAATCAGTGGAGTTGCAGGTAAGCAAAAGAAGAGAGAAACTAATATTATTCTAATATTAATAATATGAATCATAATTCTAACTATTGATTATTTTCAATTAAAAAGCGTCTCAAGTATCTTGGTACAAAGGGGATAGTCTAATCAAACAATCACGTTACTTCAGAATGGGACATGAAAGAGACACTTTTACATTAAAAATATCTGAAGCCTTCCCTGAGGACGAAGGGGTTTATAAATGCACAGCTACAAATTCATTGGGAAGAATCACAACATCAGGACGTTTACAAGTAATTCGTAAGTTTTAAATATTATCATACAAATATACCAAATATTATTAAAATTATACTTTGAATTATATTCTGATACAGTTCCAGATTCTTTAACTATTCCACCAAGTTTAACCCCACTTCAAGACTTACGAGTACCCGTTGGAACTCCGGCTCGTTTTGTCTCTTCACTTTCAGGATATCCAACTCCTTCTATTTTATGGTACAAAGAAGGACAACTTATTCAACCTAATCGTGATTTCCAGGTAAAATTTCGTTATAAATCAATTCTGAATAGACTAATGTTGCTAGATAATTAATAAAATTTATTTGCTGCTTTCTTTTCAGATGTTCCAAGACAATGCTTCCTGTTCACTTGTGATTCGACAAGTGTATCCTGAAGACAGTGGTACTTATATTTGCTGCGCAACTAATGACTTGGGTGAAACAGAAACGAAAGCTAGGCTAATTGTTGAACAAATTAGCAAATAATAATAACCCTAAGTTTGAATTGGCGTAAATTTCATGAACAAAAAATTTATTCTTTGATCCATTAAAAACTAAGCATCATTTAAACTTTTGTCTATATTTTGAATTGTGAAAAAAAACTTAAAACTTAAAACTTGAAACTAAACTTACTCAATAAATTATACTTATTAACAAATCAAACTCGTTGCGTGCCAGTACTCAAAATTAGAATTACAATTAAAACCTTGTTGAGCAAATACTCATTATACAGGCCGAGAAAATGAGTTTGACGGTATTTTAAAATTATTTGTGCAGAAAGAGTTATAACAACACTTTATCAATGATTAGATAATCAAGAAATTCAAATTTAACATTGATTTGATTGCTAAATTGTATTGGTAACATCCTGGTGGATGCAATGATTTAACATTAAACTGTAGAGTAAATGCTACAAGTGCTACTTGAAGAGGAAAATTGTACACGAAAACTTAGGGTGGGGAATTACAATAAGTTTGGATTACAAATATTAATAATTAAGAGAAGATGACGAGTTAAAATTAACAAATTGCATTAATTGATTCCAAAGATCCAATTTGATGATTGTAAATAAAAGACAAACATTGAGGTTAAAGTGAGGATAAGGTTGAGGTTGAGCCATATGACTATGGCTCCAATTTTTGGTTATATTTGTGCTGATTTACTTTCGAGATCATTCGGAGATTGGAAATATGCACTTCGATTGACTCCTCTCTTAGGTGTCTTATCTGTTGTTTTATTGATGCTTTTCCTTGAAGAACCGCCAAGAGGCGAGGCTGATGGTGTTGAGCTGATGGAAAAATCAAATGTTAAAGAAGATTTAATTTATTTAACTAAAGTTCCCTCTTACATTTGGTCGACGATTGGATTTACTTGCGTTTGTTTCACCACAGGATCACTCTCATGGTGGGCTCCTCATTTCATGGAAAATGTTTACAAACTTCGCGATGGAAAAGACCATGACGGGTACTTTCAATTTTCTTCATCAAACGACAAATCAAACTTTGACCATCCCTCATTATTTTTAGAAAGCTTAATTAATTCAACGTTTTTCTCCGATTTCTTGTTTCCTTTTCGCTTATTTTCGGAGCCATAACTTCAGTCGCTGAATTATCCATCCTAGTGTAATACAACTAATATCACAGGTAAGTTTATTAGATCTACTTTTCAAGACATTTTTAATAAAGTAAAGCTTGAGCTTATATCCTCGATGAATGATCTCAACAGTGAAATTTGGACTTACCTACTCTCCTTTTGATTCAATTACCATATTACATAATCTATTTTATCGATAAACTGAATACATATAATTGGTAAATGCAATTAATATTATGTTTACTTTGTATAATTGACTGAAGATCAAAAAGTCCAAATTTCCAAGATAAATTTTCGATTTCAAGGCTGTTAGTTTTTCGACTGAATAAAATATTAATAATAGTAACATTTGATACTTTTGATATCACAAAGAAGTTGATGGTTCAAGTGACTGGATCGAGTTGAGATTTCTATTGTTTTCAGTTATGTTTTTCATTAATTTTTTTATTTTCTTGATTATAGTAACATTTTTTGGAATTTATTCAACTTCGAACACAACTGAAAGTTCAATTTTGATTCCTTCGAAAGCAACACTGGTAAACTATGGATTCAATAATCGTCACGAAATAACTTGGTACTTTGAGCCCAAAAAGTGTGGTGAATTTCAAGTATACGATAGAGTGGCAGGTAAATGTCGGCGTATTTATTGTCGATCTACAATCGGTGATATGCCTTATCGAAAATGTAAAGTGAGCGAAGCATTTGAAGGTTTCCGTGCTCGCAAAGAGTTTATTGATATCCAAGCCGAAAAATGGTCTCTCACACTTTACGTAAGCCTTACCAATGGAAAGACACTTACTCGAAACAAGAATACACGTAAAGAATTTGAAATACAATTAGCTTCAGTTTTAAATATTTCCATTGAGCGTATAGACATTGAGGATATGGTACCACTTGGTGGTTATTATGCTCAATTCAAAGCTGAACTATCGGAAGACGTTGGACTAGTCATTTCTAACGAGCAAATAGTCAAAAAGATACAAAGTTGGCTAACGGAACGGCAAACATTTCAAATTGATGGTTGCGTTTTCTACATTTTCAGTCTGGATTTTTCTGTCAGTTATCTAGCTAATTACAACCCATCATTTTGTGAAGGCTCATCGGTGCGAAAAATACCTCATTGGGGACTAAATTTTTCTTTTATAAATTCTAATAAATTGTTAAACAATGAGAATGGCCGAATTTATCCAAAAGGTTCTTACATAGCGAGTGTTCTAGTACACAATGATCGTCTTAAAGTAGTCACATTTGCGATTCTCTGTGAGAAAGTAACTGGACTTTTCTGTGAGACTTTCAAGTTACCCGCTGGTTCTTACGAGTTTATCGATAATGGTGCATACATAAAATCACTTTATGGAGTAACTGATAAGTTCGAAGTTGACTTTAATTCGTCAGTGAAGATTTGTGAGCCTTCACACTTTTTCTGCGTCGGCAATCAAACGGAAAACAAGATTGTAGGTGTTTGTCTAATTGTCTCTTGTGTATTTTTAGTGCTGATTTTGGTCACATTTAGTATGGTTCCTGATATATCATCGACTCTTCCAGGTTTCAATACAATAAATTTGGTTCTGACTATTCTGATATTACAATTACATTTTCTAACGGGAGCTTATTGGACTAATTGTTGGTTAGCGGCAATTGTCATGCATTACTTTATATTACTCAATTTTAGTTGGTCAAGGTAAATGTTGAGATGTCTCTTTGATTGTTTGATTGTTTGATTATTTGGCTGATTGATCTCTTTCTCTCGCTTAATTGTAGTATCATTGGTTTTCACATATTTCGTACATTTGTTACATGTGATTCAATTCATTGTGAGGATAATTCAAAATACGGAAGCAGATTCACTTCTTTCATCATGGCTCATTTGATGGTCTTGATTGTTGTTGCTGTTTCGTTGATTAATGAATTTATCTCAAATGATTTCGCTCCTCATTTTGGTCCATTCCAAGGTGTTTGTTGGATTCGTAGTTCGATTGGAATATTGATTTATTTTGCTGTTCCAATTTCTCTCAGTAACTCACTGAATTCTATTTTCTATTTGGCAAGTTACATGAGGATAAAAAGAACATTGAATGCGAGTGTTGCAGTTTCAGTCCAAAGTATCAATCGATTATCAATTAGGTCAATACCCACACAATTATCGGTATTTAGTCGAATAGCAACTGCTCTTAGTATCTCTTGGCTAACTATTCTTCTCATTCCAATGACTCCGCCAAAATCGACTGTCCATCAATTGGCCAAATACTTGTTCGTCTTTATCAATACTAATCAAGGATTATTGTTATTCTTTGCTTTCCTGTGGAATAAAAGAGTTGGTCGTATTTGGTTAAATTGGGCAAGAATTTTAATCAGAATCGAAAATCAAAAAAGTTCAAAAGATTCAATCGTTACAATTTCTGCTTCCGTTCCAATCAACAGTGTTGATATGGTTGATTAGTTTATCAGTTAAGCATCGAATATGAATAAGAATTTGAATTTTATTAAAAAAAATAAAAAGATTTTCAAATTAATATTATTATCCTTTTACATTAGTAAAAATCGGTAAATTGTAATAGCAGATATTATTGTTATTGATTTGTTGGTGTTTTTGAATTTAAAATTGGAAGATCATCAAATTTTATCGAACAAATTTTATCAACAGTTAAACACTTAGGATCTTCCAGTTCAACGATAATCAATTGATTTACTTTAGGATAAGGTTTCAGCCAAACTCCTGGTGTATAAAGAGTGACCTGTGGTCCGTTTGTTGGCCAATATCGTCCAAGTCCTCTACCATTAAGATAAGCGAAACCTTTGGACAGTCCGGTTGCATTGAAATACGAATCGTAAATTTCACTGTTCTTAGGTAATATGAACTCGGCCTTTAACACCGCTGGATGTAAACTATTTGTCGACGAGACTGTAGCCTTGTCACTAGAGTTAAAAGTCAATAATGAAGTGAGATCTTCCCAATCGTCGATATAATAATGTGTTCAACCCGTAAGAGTTTTCGAATCGAAATTTTGAATTTCGATAATATCGATCAAGTTATCGATAAATATTGTTTATAAAATATCGTAAAATATCGATGAATCGATATTATCATCGCACCACTAGTACAAGTGCTTAATTTAAAAAATAGAAATCAAATTAATTATTTATGAGCGAAAATGTCAACAATCAAATTCACTTATTGCGCATCTGAGGGGTGGGTCTTAAGTGGAACAAACTTTCTTATCTCCTTGTAGACACAAAGCTTTAATTTCTTGACACTTAATTACCAAAATTACATATTTATTGTTGTGATGAAAGCAACTTAACACAGACCAACCTCGACTACTGACTATTTTACCCTATTTATATTAAAATTTTCTCTCTTTCTATTTTCTCTGTCGACGATTCGTGGCACTTTGACTTTTCTTTTCATTATCACCTCGATCTTTGTTTGTTTTTCTCGTAACAATTTCTTAATTAAAAGTGACTTTGGACTAACTAATTAAGCGAACCTCTAAATCAACATTTGACAATTTTTCTCGATAACCTTAGAACTTTTGCATCATTACATTCACCCCTTCTAGTTAGTCCGAAGCCTCTTGAGGAACAATTAACTAATCTAACTAAATTAACAAAATTTTCTTTGGGTCAATACCATCGACTTTCGTTATATAGCTCGACCGTTCGGTCAAAGTTGCAAACAACAACTATGGGGTCATTTCTGTTTCCGTCTTATCATTTCAACAATAACAACAAAAAGTTTCATCTTATTTATTTGTTATTTTTTCGAATTTTTCGTGGTTCTTTTTGATTTTTTTTCAAATTGTTTTTTTTATTTACCTCGCTTATCGTCGTCGAACCTCCTCTCATTTTGATTATCATGTCAGCTGAATTTTTTCGGAACTTTCAATGTTAATTTCTTTTCTTTCTCTTTTCTTCTACATGATTTTCTTTCCATAATAATTTGTATTGATTCGTTTTTTTATTTATTTTATCTCTCAGTGAATTGATGAGGTAAGCAAACAAATGGCTTTTCTCCATCGATCACCGACTCTAATGAATACCTTCGAGCGGTAATTACCATGAATAGGCTTTCTCATTGTGCAAAGGAAATAGAGGAGTTTTGATGGCCATGATTTTGTTGGATGATGACAACGATAAGACTAAGGATGAGGATAGGGATAATGAGACAGAGATGGTAGAGGATGAATATGGGGAAAAAGAAAAGAATGGTGAGGATGGTAATGGTGTTGATGACGATGACAATTTTCCTCATCCGACTGTTTCATTAAAAAGGATGGACGAGGAATAAATTTTTGTTCTCAAATTTCCAGCGTTAGTCCATATAAAAAACGACTAACTAGTAGTCCTCATCCTTTCGTTAATCGGTTTTACCAGAGTTGATTAACACTCCCCACTATGGATTCTAGGTCGGGGTTTAAACCGCTCAGGTTCATTTGACATGTCGTTTGCGTCCTCATTGTTTTAAGGTGAAAGAACCCAAACGATTAACTGAACTCAATGTAATGAGTGAAATATTTAACTTGTAAATATAAATTTAAGCTCAATTTTATAATTGTTTGTTATTTGTTGCTCATCTAAATGTATTACTAGATAATCACCATAATCAAGTTAACTGTAATCTACTTGCTGGTTAATCATTATTAAAGCTGATCAGAATTAAATTGTTTAAAGCAGTGGGTAAATTAATAATTTTGCCAGTAACAATTAACTTGTTGAATAGTTATTGATGGTTCACAATTGATTGGTATTCAATTCTGGTCAACCATAAATTTAACACTTATAGTTAGTTAATTGTGATCAACAAAAATAAAGGTTGATGATAGCATCGACATCAACTGGATTAAATACATGGAGTTTTTTTATTCACTACGGCTATTACACTGAATATCTCCAGGACTAAAAGTCATATGAATGTCAGACTTGACGCGAGGACTAAACAGAATTAAATCGATTAAATATACTATTTCTATACTAATTCTTTAGTTGAATGATTAGGATTGTTAATGCTAAATTATAAAGAATTAATTGTAAAGAATATGAGAGAATCACAATTAGAACTTTGAATGATTGCATTTTTCTAGTAGTCGATTACTAACCAGAGTTCAAAAGATTCGACGAAATCGTCGCAAAATTTGGCCGTATTATCGAAATGATCGAATGGAAATTTACTCAGCATTGGTAAGAGATTGGGGAATATCGAGGAAGCGTTTCCGTATCCGCCTTCTTTGATGTATTTACGAAGATGCGGAAGAAAACCTTTGGTTAGATTTATGTGTTTCCACCATTCCTGTAATTGAAAAATGACAATTAGATAATTGTTTCTATCATACATCGATTATTAACTGATAAGGGAACTTCATGAAGTGTCAAATCGATAATGATACCAGTTTTTTGGAAACGCCGTGAGAAATTATGCGGGCCATTTTTGTTCTGGCCTGCCACAACCCGATAGTTGCCGAGAAAACTGGCCTGAAAGATCGGAAGCCGTGGACATTAATTGTGTGGAATGGCAATGTTTGATTGAAATATGCAAAAACTATCGACCTATCTGTTATTAGTTCGTGTGTGCTAAAGACCGTGAGGATAAGAACCATGGATGGATACGGAGAAATTGAAATAGTATGACTACTACCATATAGTAAATTGTCAGTTAGAGACCGTGAGGTTGATTGCAAAGTAGGTGTTGGGTGTTCGCAAAGATGAATCGAAAGAGAAGCAATACAAAATAGAAAAAAATTGAATGTATCTAACCTGTGATACAAAATAGAAAAGATGATTGATGAACGATAGAAAGTGAAACCTACGAAAAAAGAGCTGATAGATAAACGAACAAAAAGAAAGAGGAAGAGATAGAAAGTAAAGCCAACGGAAAGAGAAGAGATGGATGAACGAACAAATAGCAAGAAGAAGCGATTGCATTGGACCATCCAATAGCAAGAGAGCGAGATAGAAAGTGAAACCTATGCAAAGAGAGGAGATAGATAAACGAACAAATAGCAAGAGGAAAAGATTGTAAGAGACACCAATGGCTAGAACAAGAGATAGAAATAGCGACCAATGGTGAAAGATCATGGATAAACGAACAAATAGTAATGTTTGTTTTAAAGAGGCAATGATTTTCGACACATCTATCATCAGATTGTGTCAGCTCTAGACCGTGTAGTTGAAAAACATGGGTAGGTACGAAAAACGTGAAATTAATTGTTATGACTACTAAAATCGATGTAATTGTAAGCTTAAGACCGTGAGGATGAGAACAATGGGAGGTGTGGATATTTTGATGAGATAAATGATAGATAAGCGAACAATTGGCAGAGGAAAAAGAAGTTAAGAAAGCTTATAAAAAAGGCAGAGCTTGTCAACTCTTTAACTATTAGAAACAGCCATATAATCAATTAAGATATATCGTTTTAAATCTGACTTGTGAGATAAAATCTGAGGCAAGGAAACATGTCGTTTGAATTGCAGCTCATATAAATTTAAATTCATTCAATATTATAAAGGCTTATACAATACTATATTTATATTTTTGTTCGTAAAAAAGCTTAATTCAAATTAAGGCAATTATATTTTAACTTGTTTTCTTGGTCTTCCTGTTTTCCCTTTCTTGTTTCCATACCTAGTATCGGGTGGAGCAACGTAAGGAGAAGGTCCCTTACATTTGTTGGGACATAACTTTCTGCCGTCAGCAGAGACACATTTATGTTTTGGTCCACCTGGAACCAAACAAGATCTTAAATGCCTTGTATACGAACTCCTTGTATTTGAAGGTGAACCACACAAATGACATCTGAAACATATCGGTTGTGGAAGCACATTTTCGGATCAGAAACGTCAACCGCTCCTGATTGGAATTTTTTGTATATTTCCGGCAGCCCCCATTTAATTGGTTTATTCGTTCCTACATCACAGGTCTCTATTTTACTAGGTTCCCATATGACCACGCTTCTAACGCCTAAAGTTCCCTTTATTCGATTTTGACCCAGTCTTGCCCAATAACTTTCAGAACGTTGAATTCGCCAACCGGACATATTGCAGAAGCTTGAAAAGGTGTGGAGGGTTCTTCTTCTGTATCGCCATCTGCATCAACCCCTGTATCATCATTTGAATCAACCTCTAAATCTTCCTCTGGAGCCAACAAATGAGATCTCCTAGATCGATTATTGCCTGGATGCGATGTTGCTGCTGATTCCATGGAGTTTGGTTGACTGGTTTGAGGTGCCGTTGGATTAACAGATACAAATTGTTCTGATTGATTGTTGGTTGGATTGTAGGTTGATGCTGATTCTATGAAGTGCGGTTGACTGGTTTGAGGTGCTCTTGGACTTACAGATACAAATCTGATCAAATCTGACAAATCTGATTGATTGTTGGTTGGATTTGATGTTGATTGAAATATCGTCTATTTCAATCTCTGATGTAGAAAGGGAATCGCTACGATAGAGGCTCTCGAAGTAAAAATAAAACAGTGTTGGCGCAATATGTTAAAATATTATATATATGTATAGGAAAAACTTAACGCAGATGAAGAATCTATCTGCCAATGTCGATGATATGCTGAAATCTCTTGGAAATCATGGGCTAAAGCGCTAACTCATGCTAATTTCCTCATGGGACCTATACAACTTGTATTGCAGCTATGCACGTATCATACGATCAACTTGTAGCTTAAGATTTGTAAAAACAAATA